CCCAAACCAATGATGAAACAGCGAATTAGAAAATGTGTTTAAAAATCTGGTTCCTGGATAGTATTTTGTGCGTTCTAGAACCATGAGGTGGGAGTCTGTGACACGTTGTATATTTGTACATGACTGCTATTCGCAAAGTAAAGTGAGCTTAAATTTTGCACCGTAAGTCATTGCAAATACTTTTCGCAAAGTTGTGCTTTTATTTTTGGGACTCGAGTCTTATTAGCCTTCGCTCGAGTCAAGTCGAGTCTTCTGATGAGGGACTCGAGTCGAGTCGAGTCATTTGCTCGCAGTGACTTGAGTCGAGTCGAGTCATTTACCCTTAGGGACTCGAGTCGAGTCGAGTCACCAAAAATTGTGACTCGAGTCGAGTCATTGACTCGAGTCATTACAACTCTGTTGATTGCCAACTTTTCCGACCTTGATTTCTGGCCAGATATCAACGAGTGCAACAGCAGGCCGTGTCGTAATGGCGGAGGGTGCACGGATGGTATCAACTCATTTACCTGTCAGTGCTTGCCTGGGTGGGATGGTCCTGTCTGCTCTATAAGTGAGTATTTATCCACCTTTGTCTTTTGTCTGTTTGCCCACTTGGAAAGAATATTGTATCCAGACGCCACTTCTTGTGCTATGTGCAAAGTCTTTGGAGAGTCGAGTTCATTTTTAAAGCATTTTTCTAACAAAATTGGAAATGTTTCTCGGTCCAACATTCAAGTCTTTTCAACATTTTTGCAATGACTGACTATTATTGAGATAATATATGATGCAAAAAGTGGCGTCAGGATGCAACATTCTTTCCATCTACTTTCCTCGTTTTCCCTTTTTTCCCGCCATCTCCCAACGGCCGTTATTCCTTCTTCTTTTTTTTGTATTAACTGTAAGTGTTTAAATTGTCAATGCTTTTCTCCTCCGTCGCCTCCCTCTCCCCACCCCCCACCCCCCACCCCCACCCCCCAGCTTTCTGTAAACCCGAGGTATAATAATGTCACGCTTTGTTTACATGTGCGTTTTCCTATGGAGCTACAATCCCGGCCAAAACGGTTGGGACACTTTCTGAGCCTGCCACGGTCACCCACTCCCCCGCTCCCCCGGTCAATGTTGTTCTCTCCAGCTGACGAAGCACACACCGCGCAATGAGAGACAACATTGAACGGGGGCCGGGGGTTGGGAGCCCAGCGAGATTTGGCCAGGATTGTAGGTGGCTCTCGTCTTCACCTGGCTCCCATAATAAAAAAACACAATTTAATCAAAGCATGACATCATTTTGTCTAGGGTCTTTTCTGTCTTGTACCAAACTTTTGTCTTATATTTGTCATTGTCGTTGTTTGCGTCGGTGTTTAGCAGTAGTAACTGTGAAGCAGGAAGATAGCCTTGTGGTTTTTGGTAGTTGTAGAACGTGGTGGTTTTGGAGCTGAGTACGCTGCTGCTAGCTATTGTTGAAAAATACGATGAAGGTGGTGATAATATAAGAAATTAGCATCCATGTCATGTTGTTCCTTGATGATGGGGAAGGCAATGATGGTGTTGGTGGTAATAGCGTTAATGGTGATGACCGTGCTTGTCTTGAACAAGATCATCATGGTGGCATCAGTGACAATCATTACGGTGGCATTTATAACAGTGATGACCGTGATGACAGTTAAGACAGTGACACAAGGGATTAGGACCATTTCTACTGGTGCTTATACAGCACCTTATGCCAAAGGTCTCTAAGCACTTCATAATTACTACCCCTGTTCATCAGGCCATGATGAGACCAGTTTTTGCAGCAGCTCAAGATCAGCGCATTCTGGTCTCTACCCTCACAGGTACCCATTTATACTCCTGGGTGGAGAGAGCCAATCATAGTAAAGTGTCTTGCCCAAGAACACAAGCACCATGTTCCCAGTCAGGATTTGAACCCACGTGTCATGGCACGTGAGTCAAACACCGTAACCCCTGGACAACAGCGCTCCACAATGACTATGTTACTGGCAGTGATTACAACATATTGAGTTTTCGAAGCATGATGACAATCAGAGCAATTGACAATGACAATAATGACAGTGATGATGCTTGATGACAGTGATGTCGATTCAAAAGACTATTCTAAAAGGACAGTTGAACACAGGTGCCGGTTGCAATACTAGCATGGTGCTTTTTCTTTCTAGTGATATTTCAAGTACTGGTGATGGGGGTAATGGCAGCGTAACATACCTCTGGTGGCCAGGTGGTTGTTTTCTCAATGTTTCTGCGAGTTTCTGTTTCTTCCTTTTCACTCACAATCAGACTTGTAATCAAGTCCATCACAAGTCATCCAGTCAACTCACAAGCTATGTAAATGAACGGTGACAAAAGAAATTCCTTTGTCGTTGTTCATCTCTTGTGACTTCTGACCTGACATGTGTGTGATTGACCTGATTACAACTCTGGTCACAATCATAGAGTTATATCAGGCCAAAAAAAAAAAAATTGTCAGTCTCTGGTCAGATCAAAGTTCCGGAATTGATACGACGATGCATTTTTTGGGTTTTTTTTTTTCAAGCTTGGATTGTACAGACAAGGTGGGTACTATTTTGCTTTTTTGTGTCCTCATATTCCTTAGTGTCCTTCATCATTTGCCTTGGTGCTCTCCATCATTTGGAGTCGAGCCACCCACGAAAATTTGAGGCGGTGCGGCAATAGAGGGTGCTGTTGTAGCTACCGGGAACAATTTGAAAATAGAACTGACGTGCATGATCAAAATCAACGTGCGCGCTGTCCTGAGACCGACTATTTGGGGGGGGGGGCCTTAAATTACTAGAGCGCTAACTCATTCTTACGCCCGCCCGGAGATACTGTGAAGCCGTCCTGCGTGCTGACATTTTGAAATCAACTTTCAATTGTGCGTGTTTGTAGAACATGAAATTAGGTGGAATTAATTTTGACAGTGTACTCTAAATGCAATGAGCAGAAACAACATATGCTAACAATTTGATGGTGCGTTTCGGTTTCGGGCGTATCAGCTTCGATAACACCTGTATAGAATGCGAACGCAGATATGCAAATAGCCGTACAAAAGCCTTAACAATTTTTGAGTTTTCCATAGATTTGTGCACAAATATGGATGCGCCCAGCAGGCATCACTTTGTACATGAGTCAGCGCTCTAGTAATTTAATATAGCTCTATGGCCGAAATACAGTCAATACGTTAGTATAAATACAAACAGCAGAACCACCATAGTGATACGGAGTGCAGAAACTGCTAAATCTCATCAATTTAGCCTCCATTTTCTTCACTTACTTGTCAAATTTCACCTTGCATTCCTTCAATTTCCGTCCATGCTTTGAAGGAAACTCTATCTCCAGGTAAGATTTAACACCTCTTTTAATAGTTATTTTTTCTCTAAACTTGTAAAAGTAATTGTTCTCCACCCTTACTGCAAGTTAGTCTTTATTTTAAACCTTGGAACCAGAATTTCGTCTTCCTAGTACAGTGCAGTACAGAACAGTGTAAATTCTCAATGCAATGAATAACTTCTGATTTGCTAGAATTAAGGTTTCTTTCTGTAAATACAAGCAATGTGTAAGCTTTCCATCAGAAAGTAATGAAAATGGCCGGTGTTAATTCAATACGACTGATTTAGTTTGAAGAATTAGTATTTACTTATGAGATGATACTTAGGACTTTAAAACCATGTATTATGTTTATGTGTTAAATCCATTTTCCAAGCTGGCCTAGGTTTTAATACCTAGGCCAGCTTGGAAAATCTTTAAAAAAAATCAGTATTGTATATTTCGTTAAATCTAGATTAGGCTCGACAAGTGAGTGAGAAACAAAAATTCCACCAAGATATTTTTGAATTCATGAATTATTTTTTATAAAGCTCTCTTTAATTTTTGTAATATTAATTGTATGAAAAGTTACTCAATATACTTCCAGCCCTCTTTCTCCTAACTTCTCCTGTTATTTCTTCTTTTCTTCCCAAACCTGCACTCTCATTCCATTACTCATACACTTCATATATACTAACTGTTACCACAGTGACCAAGGGCGTAAATCCCGGGGGAGGGGGTGGGGCATGGGGAGAATATATCCCCCACTTTTTGACCAGGGGGATGGGCCATTGGTTCACCCCCCCCCCCCCCACATTTTTGTGGTGAGAAACCAACAAATGCCAGGTGTTTAGGTTATTTACTAACTTTCCAACAACTCAAATGTATTAAATAGCACTGAAAAACGTAGAACGAATAGCACAAAAGCTTCACCCCATCTTCACCCCATCAAACCTGCCCCATCTTGATGTATTGTAAGGGCACCAGCTTGCAAAAGGTGTACAATGGTATCATAAACAGCGTCCCTTAGTGCCATGTGGTATCCAGCCCACCTCCCCCCCCCCCCCCTTCAAATTTTCACGACCAGGCAATTTCAGGATATTGGTTATCCCCCATCCCCCCCCCCCCTTGCGGGCATGGATTTACGCCACTGACTGACTACTGTTTTACATGTGTCAACCAAGACTGTGACATTACCATCATCTGGCTATTATTGCGCTCTAACTTTTTTTCTTCACAAAAAAAACATGATTTACATTCTTTTGAACTTTGCCAGAGTAAAATGTGAGAAAGTGCTTGTTTAATCTTTAGTATAATCTTTTATGAAACCACTTGAATTTTTTCACAGCTGCTTTCATTTTCCGACTTCTCAATTATAATTTCATCATATTGTCGAAGATTTCCACCACAATGAAAAAAACTCCCATTGTACATCGCATCATAACACTATCGCCTTCATCACCATCATTGTCATTAAATGTATATTGTTTTCGCTCATTTTAATTTGAACATTGGCAAAAATGTTTGAGCACATGTGATTTTTTTATGTGACAAATCATCCTCTTTCATTTTGGAAGAAAATGGCAACACATGTAAGTACTGTTGTAATGATGTGCAACTTTTTCTTCTGTGAATCTGTTTATTCAACTGAGCATCATTTAGCTCCCCAATTAATGACATCTTAATGTCTGTTTCACTTCTTGTAGATATTAACGAGTGCTCCAGCTCCCCGTGTCGTAATGGCGGAGCTTGTGGAGATTTGATCAATGGTTACACGTGTACATGTGTGCCAGGATTTGATGGAACCAACTGCGAAAATAGTAAGGAAACTAATGCCTCTCTGTCAGATTTGTTATTGAATTAAACACAAGTGAAATTTGAATTAATTTGAAGTCATTTATGAGACTACAGTGGGACGTCGCTATACCAAACACCGCAATACCGAGCATTCATTGTCCTTGGCTCCCGATTTTTGTGTAAAACGTACCAAACATTGTTGTTGCAAAAGGGGAAAGCCACCCATTGCTGTAGGTAGTAAGCTCAAAAAGTGTGCAATTACTTAATTCAATAGTCGGCACGTGTTCAAAGTCATCTTTCAGTAACTACTGGTACCAGGGCGTGCAGGGTGAATTTCTGAAGGGCGCTATTTATTGATAAGTGAGTACCGGAGCACCAGCAGCTTAAAATTGCTATACCGAACGATTGCTATTACGAACAATTTTTGTGGATCCCGCGATGTTCATTATAGCGGCGTACCACTGTAATCAGAAGTAACAGGGGGTGATCAACGACGGGGAATAGCTTGAACATGATTAGAGACTGGATGTCTTGCGATTGACTTGAGTTTGTAACCGTACTTTTGTGGTCTGCACAATCTTCCCAAGCATGCAGTAAAGCTCTTTCTTCATGATTATGTTGTCCTTGGAGATCTCAGGATTTCAAACAAAAAGACGTGATGTGACAACCTTTCTTAGTTAGTATCAAGAAAGTTTTTGAACACACTTCTTTAAATATGTATTCAACTAGTCTACAATGCATGCTGACGATGTGCTTTTGAATCTCAAATTCAAGCACATGAAAAGAAACCTAGTTATGTAATATAAAATATTTAAATAAAAAAAACCAAAATATATTGCCCAAAACCATGAGGCAACAATAGGTTAAATAACTTTGGTTTGGCACACTTGGCCAGGATACATGATCTACAGTGTACTGTTTTTTTTAATTTGTCTGAAACCTGATTCTTTGCAGACATTAACGAGTGTGGCAGCAACCCTTGTCAAAATGGCGGCGTTTGCACCGACCTCATCAACGGTTATACCTGTGCCTGCGTCCCTGGATTCACTGGCCTCACGTGCAGTATCGGTACGTAGTCAATGATTGGTTTATGGGGGTTATCATTTGGGGCCTAATTAACCTACCGGGTATCGCGGTAGAATCGCGTTAGGATCGCGTCAACGCAGCTTGTGAAATATTGTCCAATTACATGATATACAAATGGATGCAAAACGCGCAAAATCTGAGACAAACAAAACTTAGTATACAAAAATTCCGTAGGGTTGTCTAAGGGGCGTGGCTAACTCGCAAAAGGCGATAGGTCAATTTCGCAGAGCTTCCAAGCACACAATAGGCTTTATTCGTGTGTCGGCCGTATTCAATTAAAAGCGAGGTAAAATCTTCATTTTTTTGAGCTTGGGAATAGAAATGAAAGCAGTGACATAAAGTTCATTACAAATTAATAACAGCCTGCTCTGATAAATAATTTCAAATTTGTGATTAAACATACCCTAATGTTTTAAGCCACATTTGAAAAAAAAAATGGAAGGTGAGGCTTGGAACACACTCCAATCATAAAATAGTCTGGCACCCTCCCATTCAACAGTTTACAATTTAGGAAATGCATTCAGGGAACACGATCTAAAATGGCTTCCTTGTGAAGAAGGTCGATACTGCTCAGCAAATTTAAGTGCTAAGCAAAAATAAGCTGGGTACCAGTCACAAGCTGTATAGATTGGATGACGTTTTGGCTGGTACCAGTTTGTGCTTAGCAATTTTTTCCGTACTTAGCAGGTTTCTGTGTTAAGCAGCCTCACGAAATTGTTCCTTGGCTTAAAAAATATGACGAGACCAACTTTTGGGATTCAAATTCCTTCCTTATCTCATCAATTTTCAATAATAGATATAAGGGGTCAGGATTTTTCCTATTTCAGATTTTTAGGAGAATTGTTCCTGATTTCAGGACTTTTGTCAGAATCTTTCTCTGATTTGAGAATTTTTAAAGAAACCGGTTTAAAATCTGGAATTCCTGAGGTTTCACCGTGAAGATGTTTTTACCTATAAAACTTTATGTAGATCAAAAGAAATTGGTAAATTTATGCAGAACATTACCATAAACCCTCCATTGCTCTGAGGACCTCGGTGACTCCCATACCCGTTGACGATTTATTTGTGGATTATTTTGTTTCCCCTACCCCACCCTTGTCACAGTTGCTGAAGTTTAATCATTGAGGCAGGCTCATGACATTTCTCATTTTCTATTTTCTGCAACTTTACAGACATCAACGAGTGCAACAGTAACCCATGCATGAACGGCGGCGAGTGTCTGGACCTGGTCAATCTCTACAGGTGTCGGTGCGTGGCGGGGTATAGAGGAGATCGCTGTGAAATCAGTGAGTTTGGCTCTCTCGTTCGCTCTCTCTTGGTCAAACGTGTAGATTCATGGCGAGGAAAAATGTGTGTGAAAGTCTGACAAGCATGTGTGATTCATACTGGTCTTGGTTTCAGACTTGATGTGGTTTTTGTTCCTCATATAATCAGCCAGTCCGGTATTCTAAAATAGTCTGGTGCACAGCAAGATTTTTTTTTTTTCAGAATAATCGCGGCAGATAAATGCACACAAGGCTATTGGGGACGTGGTACCAAATCTGCATTCGGTGCAATTGTTCGTGCAGTCAAAAAGAGATGGAAATTTCGTTTGCACATAAGTTTTGACGCACCAGACACCTAAAAACACTTCGCTGTCCAAAGGTTTTTTGCAAAATGTTATGCTTCAGAACACAGTGATCTCTTCAATTCTGCTGGTACCCCGCTATGCTTTTGCATGCATGTGAAATTTTTATCCCAAAAGAAAAATCGGCAAATCTTGATGTGCACATGCGCAGTAAGTGTTTAATTAGCCGCAGTCAACAAGACAAATTAATTCTTCAGGATTTTTTGGTCAGGATTTTTCCTGGTTTCAGGATTTTTTTTGTCAGGATGGACTTGTCCTGATTTGGGGATTTTTAACTTAGAAACCCTTTGGAAATGTTTTAAATTTGAGAAAAGTTGTAAATATGCAGGATTTCAATTAAAGATAGCTTTTTTACTTCCCTGCCAGATATCGATGAGTGTGCCAGCCTGCCTTGCTTCAACGGTGGTACCTGTGTTGACGGTGTGAACACCTATACCTGCACATGTTCAGAAGGCTACATGGGAACACGATGCGAAATAAGTAAGTTCTGTCTTCGATGTTTTTTTTAATTAGACCTAATGTGTTGCTAACTTTCATGTGTAGTATTGAAAGTTGCTCAACTCAAATCTGCAGAGCATGCAGTGTGTTTATATCAACTTGGGTAAAAGAAAGTCCTTGTTTTAATTAATCTTTCTATTTTTTTGTAACATTTGTGACTCAATCCAACAAAATGATTTACAAGTTGCGAGGGCAAGTTTACTTAGTCGTAGGCCTTTAAATAGAGTCTTTCACAATGAAAATAACTAGGAACAGTCAACTTTGTAAATAATCGCGTAATATCTGTATATTACGTTATCAAACTGAGTGATATTATAGTTCTATTGAATGTTTATGAGTGCAATGGTAAGGCGAGCCATCAGATAACAGACCGTTCGGGTACCGGGTCCGGTATGCTAATTTCTTTCACCCCAATCGGTACGAGGCCAAAAGCCACCCGGTTACTGAAGCGTGACGCCCCAATCGGTCCAAACTGGTGACTCAGGGTTTCACAATAGGCAACATCAATTGAAGTCTTCTTTGAAGCGCACAGTCATTGTTGGCTACTGGAGGATTAGCGCGTCGATAATTGGTTCCTTTGTGATGAGCCAGAGCCATGGTGCAGAAGCCTGGTGGAGTTAATCCAGGCCGATCGGTTCCATGCAAGGTCCCAATCCCTTCAACATACTGGGCGGGCTCAACCCCGAACGGTCTGGGGAGGGATTCTAATTTGAGGGCTCGCCTAAGAACAATTTCATTCCAGAGCCACCAATAGTGAGACCGTGCCATGGAACTTCTATTTACCGTAGAATATAACTTCTATTTCTGTAGTGCGGCCGTGCCGTGGGTTGCGACGAATAATTCAGTGACATGTGATCAACGACCAACCACTCAGATGACGGGGATTCATTCAGGCGTTGTATAAATCTAAACGACGAACCTAGTATACTCTTTCTATTGCATGTGAAAAACTATAGAGTAAAAATTGGCTCCTAATTGTCACATTTACAAAATGTGATTTAAGAATTTCATTCAATTTACATCAGAATGGATCGTATTTTCCCCTTTTCAGATGTCGATGAGTGTGCCAGCGGTCCCTGCGTCAATGGCGTCTGTAACGACAGAGTCAACAGCTATGAGTGCGCCTGCTTCCCAGGATTCTCAGGCATCAACTGTGAAATCAGTGAGTGGCTGAATAATAATAATCAAAATCTCACTGTAAGATGTGTCCGGAGCATCAACGGTCCGTCGTCATGGTCCAGAGCATCAAATTCAGAATCTGCGGGTTATTCTGCAGGTTGTGGGTTCGAGTCCAGCCTGGGGTTGTGGTGCGTGTGTCCTTGGGCAAGGCACTTTGTCACAAGTGAACTTGCACCTCATTGTCAAGTCCAGCAATTTTCTCCACTTTGCCTGTGTTTTTTTTTTTCTTCTTGTTTGTTAAGAGTAGTGTTAATTTCAAGACTCTTTAGTACTAGCAAGTGTGTAAAATACTGGTGAAAGTTAAAATACCAATAAAATTACATCTCGCTGAGGTAAAATTCTGATTTAAATCATTAGTTGCACTACCTGTTGCTATATCAGAATCGAACCAGCCAGCCAACACCGGCAAGCTCGGTGGTCGAGTGGTAAGACGTCTGCACTAGTAAAGCAGGAGGTCGTGGGTTCGAGTCCTACCCGAGCGAGCCTATATGATTTCTTTCTTGCAAGCTTTGACAGTACTGAGTACACAGTGCTTATTGTGACATTGTTTTGTCTGGTTGCAGATGACAATGAATGCAACAGTTCCCCTTGTCAGAACGGCGGTGTATGTAACGACGGAGACAACGGCTACACTTGCACCTGCGTAGCAGGCTTCGCAGGGGTTCATTGTGAAATTAGTGAGTATTTGAGGATCAGGAATTCCAAAAATGGGCCTATTTTCTCGCTCTCCCCCTCCCTCTCCCAACCCCCCTCCCTCCCGCCTCCCCCAACCCCCCAGTTGTTAAAAATCCCTCTACCATCCGCCTTCCCCCCCCCCCTTCATGCCCCCAACCCGAGTCCCAAGAAAGAAGTTATATTACCTTTGAATAGGAAATTTTTATTCATGAAATAATTCATATTTTAACTGTTGGTTTGAATATTATGACATTTTCCCCCGTCTAGATATTGATGAGTGTGCCAGCAGTCCGTGTCGGTTTGGATCCACTTGTAACGATCTCATCAACGGTTACACGTGCCGCTGTACCCCAGGATACGAAGGGACCAATTGCGACATTGGTATGTTCCCTTAAATACAGAGTAGACGTCATTGGTGCATTTTTTTTTTCGTTTGAAGCAAGAAAAGTGCTCCAAATCTAAAGACGGTGTTTAACAAATAACCTGATGACCCGTAAGCTTTGTGAATGCTGTATATTTTGAGAAAACACAGTATTCTGGATCTCCATTTCAATTCAAAAGTTGCTTTGTCAATCCCGAAATCAGAACTCGGGACATGATTCTCATTCAGCCGATTGTTGCTACTTCGATGACACACACTGAACCAACTATTCGGGCTACTAATAACAATCGCGCAAGCTTGTGTATCATGTCCCTACGCCTTCACCCCTTCATGAATTTGCTCAATTACAAACCAACTGCCAACGGAAATTTCCAAAAATGTGTCACTTGACGCATCTTTGGGAATGACGGTCTTTTATTGTTTTCTTCAAAATGAGTTAAATGACAGCATGCCAGAGGGAATACTTTTACAGGAAATTTAGTGTCATTACTATATTTTAACAAAGTTAGCCGACCAATAATTTGGTCAGTTACTTTTTGGATAGATGCAAATGGTCCACTTTACCTTTAAAAACAGACACAAAAGATTTTCCTCCTCCTTAGCCTCCCAAATCCTTCAAAATTGATAAGTTTTTTTGAAAGACTTTGTAGGATTCTGTATGGTACAGCTCAGCTACTGTTACTTTGAAATATATATTTTACAAAAAATCTGCCATAGGTTTCCTGCACTTTTAAGGATTTTGCAGAATTTAGAAAGGTTCACACAAAAATGCCTAAGGAGATGGAGTTGAGTTTCCTGAAAGCTAAGCAAAAAAAGTTTTTTTGTGTCTACTGGAAATTTTCAGCTCAATTGGATTTTGTCTGAAGACTTCGACTTATATTCATGGGTGTCGCTTTCCACTGATCACTTCTTTTTGACGTGTTTCAAAGGAGAGTAGTTTATTCTGGGGAATCAAATCTTGGACTCTCTAACCAAGAGTCAAGGGGCTTTACCGACGTATTGTTTGTTTCGCATTTTACACAGATATTGATGAGTGTTCCAGCTCGCCATGTCGTAATGGAGGCTTTTGCATGGATCGTATCAACTTCTACAGGTGTCAGTGTGCGTCTGGTTATACAGGAGATAACTGTGAAATTGGTCAGTTAATTTTCCAAAATATTCATTATGTTGATTGTTGAGTTTTAGTGGGTTTTTTTGGTCATATAAATGACACAGGGAAACTGGCTTTTTTCATTAGTGTGAGGTTGTAAATTGACAGTATTAGGATTTAAACCTGTGACAGGTTCAGATGGGTTGGGTTTGGGTTGGGTTGGGCTGGTTTTGGGGTGGGTTGAGTTGGTTAAGTTGAGTTGAGTTCGGGTGGGGGTGTTGGATTGAGTTGGGTTGGGGTGGGGGGAAGATGTTGGGTTAAGTTTGGGGTAGGGTGGGTTGGGCTGAGATAAGTTGAGTCGTTTGGGGTGGGTTGAGTTGGGTTGGGGTGGTTTGGGTTGAGTTTAGTTTGGGGGTTGAGTTGGGGTAAGGTGGCGATGGGCTTGGTTAGGTTGGGGTAGGTTAGGTTGGGTTGGGTTGAGTTTGGGTAGGGTGGGTTGGGTTGAGTTGGGATGGGTTGCATTAGGTTGAGCTGGGTTGGCCTGGTTTGGAGTGGGTTGAGTTGGGTGTGGGGTTGGGTTGAGCTGGGGTAGGGTGGGTTGGGTTGGGGTAAAAGCGAGTTGAAGTGGGTTGGGCCTGGTTTGATGGGGCCTTTGATAATCTTTTAAATATGTGATGATCTATAAATTTGATTTGATTTGATTTGATAGATTTTGATGAATGCAGCAGCAATCCTTGTCAAAACGGAGCGCAGTGCAACAACATGATCAATTTCTTCACTTGCACGTGTGCAGCTGGTTACGAGGGAGTCTTGTGTGGCATCGGTGAGTGTTATAAACTCAACTAAAGATTTGTAGGACTCCTCAAATTTAACGGGAAATCACAGTGTATCACAGTGTATATTATGCAGACTAAGACTTTACCTTAGGCACATTTGTTTAAACGTAAAAAAAACTATTCGGTACTTTAATGAATGTTGAGGCTGAAGAATTGACCGAGGCTAAGAAAATGATTTTGTCTACCCTTAGAGTCAGATAGGACTGATAAGTCTTAAAAATAAAAGTTCTGGATCTGCAAATTAAATTGTGCTATGAGTATAGATTTTTTGACACACGTTGGTCAATCCTACATTGTCTCCATAATTCCTCCTGTCTCCAGACATCAACGAGTGTGCGAGCAGCCCATGCCGCAACGGAGGCCGTTGTAACGACTTGGTCAACAGATACACGTGCCAGTGCCAGCCGGGCTTCCAGGGAATCAACTGCGAAATCGGTATTCCATTTTAGCTTCTTGAGTTTATTATAAAACCGAAACATACATTGCCATAATGACAGGTGTATATGAACGAAGACAAGTGGAACGTTTCTCACTGAATCCGCAAAAAGCCATTTTTGTGTAAGCGAATCATTTGAAAGATTTGAAAAAAATTAAAGTCTCAATTTCTTTTTTGATATTTCAAAGTCTCTAGTGCAGACAAGTTGCAAAGAAATTCCTTCTTTCTTTTTTTTATCAACACCGATTAAAGTTGAAGAACAAAAAGTAACATTCTTTTTTTATAATAGTGTAATTCACTACATTTAACCTTCTCTCTGTTTTCTTCCCCGATACAAGCAGCCAAAATATTTTGTTGGAGATGCAGATTTTGTGTTGTTTTTGTGCTGTTTGATTGCTTTTCCCGAATGGGTCGTTCTATAAACTTAGGGCCCACAGTGTGACATTTTTCCTGTCCCTGTTACATTGGTACTTTGTAATGTGCCATTCAAGTATCATTGAGAATCACTTCCAATGATTTTCTATTTGTTGGGTAGTAGTTTGCTATTCATAATCACTCTTGAAAGACGACTGCATTGAGGAGTGCATCAGAATTATAACATCATAGATGTCAGATGTACATGTAACAGGGACAGTAAAAAAAAGTGCACCCCATAGTTATGGAATGACCCATATGTAGCAGTTTACCACGAATCATTGTGATTGTTTGTTGCAATTATTTAGAATCGTTTTGGCCTTCTTTCTTTCACTTGTGTCTCTTCCATTCATTCCTTTCAATGCTCTTCTTTCCTTTTGTAACTCACCTTCCTTTTACTCCCCACCCCAGTTGTTTACTTAAGTAAAGTTGTTTTTATTTAATTCAGGGTTTTGTGTTAATATATAAGTCACTAGTTTGTTGGTTTTGGAATCTCTTCTAAACATGCCAACAATATTTGCAATTATACTAAATTTATCCTTGTTTAGATTTTTAAATTTAAAGAGCCCTTGTCGGAGAGTATAAATTTGACAGTTCGGACCTACTCTCTGAAAAAAAGTTGCATCTTGTTGCCAACCTTCTTAAACAATATGAGTTTTTAAAACTGGACGCAATAGTTTGGTAGAATCATCTTACGAGAATCCATTGATATCATTTATTTCTGGACCTTCAATGAGAAAAAAGAATGAGGAAAATTTTAAAAAAATATGTCTCATTGAAATGTTGCATTTAGAAGTAAAGAATTTTTATTTGATTTGAAAATTGCAGCACTTTTTTTATCTTGAAATAAAACTGATTTTCACAGAGCAGGCTGTATTCACTTTCTTAACATAAAAGAAATATTCCTTCTGTTGCATGTTCAGGGTTTATACTTCCACACTCATCCAAGAATGTCTTTTTTTCCCTGAATTATTACCATTTAAATATCCATCATGACTGTTTATGTAATTCATAAAAGTAATTTCACAAAATGGACCTTTTTATGACAACTTCTCATCTGAAGTTTTCAGCCACCATTGTTGATTTGTGTTTGCTTTTGCTCTGTTTTTTTTATGTTTTATTCTCAAAAGTTGTGCATTTTGAACACAGAATCCAGAGAAGGGTGCTTGCTTTTCCTTTGTTAGTTTGTCTGAGCTTGCCTGAAAATTTCAAGACTCACCAGACACCCGTGAGTAATAACTGGACCCCAAAGTAAGTCTCTCCCACCCTTCAGAGATTAGCACGTAAGTCATACAAATTTAGAAACAGGTTTTCTAAGCCTCAGAAATTTTCAGATGGTAATATTCTATCCTTAGTACATTTCACAAATACAGTTAGAAGGTTAGTTTACCACCAAATCAAGTCGTTACTTTAGAAGAACCCTGGAGGAATAGGAGCAAATTTCTGAATAATCGATTTTTATGTAGGTATTATCAGGGTAAATCCTTTGATTGGTAATATTTTACATTCCGAATTTGCTAATATAGTCATATTTTGAAATTAGTATTGAAAGAGGAAAATGGATCAATAGGTCCCGGTGAACATTTGTTAAAAACAGGGCATTCAGCTTTCATCGGATTAGCTGGTTTCCTCCTTTTTCACTTCACAGTTAAAAATGTAAAAACACTGTAAAAAGTGTTTTAAAGCCCAGAATTTCCTATTTTTGGGTTTTTTTACTTCCAGGTTGCATGCGTGTATAAATAATTAAAATAGAGAGCACAATTATCAGTATAATGAATAAAAACCTATTTATTTTAGAATGTATATTTCCCCCTTTTTTATCACTAGGCTTAGCATTTAATTACAATAGAATTCCCTCCTTCCCCTACCTCCTTCAACTCTCCTATCCTAAATTTCATCTGATTTCAATTTCTTTTGTTTCTTTCTCAGTCTACCACCATCTTTAATTTTCTTATTGTTGTGCCTTCTGTTTTCATGTTCTGAATACTAACATCATATTTTGGTTCACCAAACACCATATTCTGAATGTCATTAAGCCTAACAAAAGCAACCCTTTAAAAAAACTGGACCATTCACAGTGAATTACACTGTGAATGGTCCAGTTTTGAAGGGTTATTTTAGTCTAGAAACCAATTTCGAACCAAGTGAAATTCCGCAACCTGTTATGTTGAGCTGTCTGTTTTTGTGTTGTGTCAGAAGTTGCCGTCCCGAGAACAGATTTCTCGCTGTAAAAGTCTTTTCCTTTATGTGCTATTAACAAAATTCTTGTAGCAAATATTCCAGTCCACTTTTTTTTTTCATCGGTCATTCTACACTTTTACTAACTGTTCTTCATTGATGCATGTGTATGTGAGTGTGAATGAAGGCTGGAAAAAAGTCTTGGAAGAGGCATGGCAGTTTCGTTTTTCGTGCCATATTTGTTCTACCAGTTCAACACTACAAGTTACTGACCACCTTGTCTCCATTTGCCAGTGGGGAGTTAGTCTTTAATCGGATTTTCTGTTTTAGTTTGTTTATTTTGACATTGTAACAGGCCGAATTTGAAACTGACTTTGCAAAAGACTTGGTTATAATAATGAACAAAATACAGTTAAAAAAAACCAAGCAAGGAAGCAAAACAATCAAGCAATCGCCCACTGTCAATTTGCAAGATTATTAATGAAATGCAAATTATAACAACCAACTTGGTATTTCTTCACTGCTAGAAAAAAAACAATTTCTGGCAGTTTCTTCAGACAACTCCAACTAAATACCTTTTTTTTTTAAAGGATATAATCAAATGAAAAGAAAAATCTGCATGATAATAATAAAAGTGGTACTTCCAACAAGCTGAAGAACAAGAAATTGTAGACATTTCTCTGAACTAAGTTTGTTTAAGACTTCATCAAGAACATGGACAAATGTGAGGCGTTCTGAAGAAAAAAAATGAGACAGAACTGGGCAGAGGTCAAAATGAGGGTTTGCGTGTATTAGGACTGTTTCTTGCCCTTCAATCTGACAAGAATATTGAGAAAAAGACTCAAGTTTTTTTAGTTTTGTAGTAGTGAAAATGAAAGATGCCAATTGTTTTTTTCCTTGAAAACACTTTTACTCAATGATTTGTATACTACTTCTTTAAAATATGTGTAGTAGATTTATCAAAGATTACAAATGTCAATAAATCTAAAAATCAAAGAAAAAATTACCCTCATTGGGTTTTTGCTTTGTTCTCCACAACTGCCTGTGCCCAGTTCCATCTTGTTTTGCCAGAATGTCTCACAAATGTTCCATAACTCAAATGATATTTCCAATTTGACTAAACACTTTATGCCCATCATTCCAGACTGTTTTGCCAGAGTCCCCCAAACCAAATAGTACAAGGAACAACTCAGCTCTACCCAAATAGATTGACTGGACTCTGGAGTCATTTCAAACAAAAGTCAACAGTTGATCTTCGAACAAAGTCACTCCTGTTTCAAAATTGAACCTTTCAAATCTTCAGAATAATTTTGTAATGCCAGTCTGCCACAGGTGTTCCGACAGTGTTTTGTGTGCATTTGCACTCATGGGCTTAATTATCGTTTGTTTCTTCCCTTCCTACTCTAGACATTGACGAGTGCGCCTCTAATCCTTGCATAAACGGGCAGTGTACGGATCAGGTCAACAGGTACACCTGCACCTGCAGCCCTGGGTGGGATGGCGTTAACTGCGAAATCAGTAAGTATTTGATATTTCAGAGTTGTTTTGATTTCATTTGATTTCAGAGTTGTGTTGATTTCAGAGTTGTACTGGAGGACAAGCCTAGGGTGTTATTAGCTGTGCGCATCGTCCATTGAGGGCGTGCACACCTCCTTTTTTCTCTGGGCATTTCTTGGTGTGTAGTTCACTTTTTTTGTAAACCTGCTTACTGGTGTCGTGGTTAAAGTCCGTCACTAGTCATCAAAAGTCCTCACAAGTCCATCACAAGCCATCCGAGTCAATTCTAGTCAATTCACAAGCTATTCAAATGGTATTTTTTTGTATTGCAAAAGCGGCATCTTTGTTAATGTTCAGCCCCGGTTGCTTGCATGTGACCAGACAGGTGATTGACTTGTGATTTGACTTAATATTGACTTGTGATTTGACTTGTGTTTGCCTTGTGACTGGCATGGGCTCCGAACCCCACGCCTATAGCTCAGAATTCTGGTAGCTGATTCAATGACTCCAACCTCGAAAACAATGTTCAAAAAAATTTCTTATGCCTTTAGCTGAGAGAACCTCGAAAATTATGTTTAAATTATTATCTTTTGTGCTAAGATAATTATTGGTTAAAGTGGTAAGAAATTGCCTCAGATCACACCACAGAGCATCGAGAATCCAATTTTTTGGGGGCTCTTAAGCGGGCCCCGAACCCCACGCCTATAGCTCAGAATACCGATAGCTGATTCTATGACTCCAACCTCGAAAACGAGGTGCAAATAATTATCTTTTGCTAAAAAAAATTAGTTAAAGCATGGAGGAAAGTGGTAAGAAATTGCTTCAGATCACACCACAGAACATCTAGAATCCAATTTTTTGCCGTAAGGGTTTCGCGCTTTGCGCTCGCATCAGTTCTGATCAAGGTATGTCCCCTCCCCCCACTTTTGAGAAGCGATTGACGCCCCTGCATGATGCCCCCCCCCCCCATGAAATGTTCCAGCCCCCCCCCCCGCACTCCCCCCCCCCCCCCCCCCCCCCACTGAAAAATTCCTGGCTACGCCACTGCTGCAGGTCAAAGCCATTACTGGTGGGTCCGCATTGACAACTGGATGACTGGGTAACATCACCTACCTTGCGCAGGCTCTATTCGAGTTGTGTTGTACAAAAGTCCTTGAGAACCATGAAAGATGATGTTCCCCAGATAACATGGGATGGTGTACCCAGTGAAGTCCATTAGATCGCCCTTCGTGAATTTTGGCAGTGCGTCACGTAAACAGCCGCAGTGAAATTTCACAATCAAATACCATGGTGGCATAAAAAGCTGCATCTCTCTTTGTAACTGCGTGAGGGGGTACGTATACAAGATGTCCATAGTAATCCATACACACATATCACTCCTTCTTTGCTTTGTTTCTTCATGCGCAGATATCGATGAATGTGCCAGCCAGCCGTGTCTCAACAACGCCCAGTGTACCGATCAAGTCAACGGCTACTCCTGTGCTCCATGTTTGCCCGGCTTCGATGGCATCCGTTGTCAAATCGGTAAGTACCGTCATTAAGCCCCTCCCCCTTCCTTATGCCCCCCTTTCCTTATGCCCCTCTTCAATTCATTATGCCCCTCCCCCGTCCTGATGCCCATCCCCCTTCCTTATGCCCTGCCCTCTTCCTTATGCCTATCCCCCTTCCTTATGCCACTTCCCCTTCCTTTTGCCCCTCCCCCTCCTTATGCCCCTCCCCTTTCCTTGTGCCCTGCCCCCTCCCCATCGGAAATTGCTGGAATAAACTACCCCTTGTATCCAACATCACAATTAAGCCCAGGTCTTTTTTCCTGTCCAATAGCTATCAGTGGTCATTCGCGTAAATCCGTGTCGGCAAGTGGGGGGAAGGTGGATGACCATACCGCAAAGTCCAAAAATTGCCCGCCGCGGATATTCAAAAAGGGATGGGGGGGGGGGGGCTTGATGCTTGATAACACGTGACACTAGGGGTAACTGCCCATGATACTGGAACACATTGATACTGGAACATTGGAAAATTACAACATAACCTCAAAATCAACTTCTTCTTTTTTTCGCCACAAAAAAGGGGGGGGTTGATCCAATGGCACATCCCCCCCCCCCTTTCAAAAAATGAAGGCGATATATCCTTCCCATCCCCCTCCTGAGTGTAATAATAATAATAGTGAACATTTATATAGCGCCAAAATCCGTCTAAAAAAGACACTCAAGGCGCTTTAACCCTTGTTATACTGCTCAGTGTAGTACCCCACTGTAGTGGTTTCTTGTTGCGATCATCTGGTAAGTCGATAAGTCTGATCTTTATTTCTTTGTTTGTTCCCTTCCACAGACATCCAAGAGTGCGACAGCAATCCGTGCCAGAACGGCATCTGCATTGACGCAATCAATCTCTACACCTGTTCCTGCTTCCCTGGGTGGGAAGGCACCAACTGTGAAATTGGTGAGTTTAGACAACCCGCCCTTAACCAGTTCGCGCCGGAGCCCATGTATACACTCAAAGGTCCTGCGGTAATTAGAACGAATGACAGATAAACACGCAGGGAGCGAGGCCGGAAATATCTGTCAGTGACCCGCTCGCAGCGAGCGAGGCCGGCAATATGAGTATGCTGCCCGAGGGTGATGGCTTCAACCCGCCTGCGTTCTTGTCAAAATAATCCCAGCGCAAACTGGTTAAGAGTGCGAACTGTGGTTTAAAGCTCAAGTAGGCTGTGCTGCATTATGTGGCTACTGACGGGCTGTAACACACATATTTATGGGAAATGGCTTTCGTCTCTCTTCCATAGGTTCATGTGTAATCGCAAGCCGCAGCCCAGTAAGGCCACACAAAAAATGTTGTGTTGCCCTCGCATGAAAAATATCAGCAGGGTTGGTTGGTCAGGGAGTGGTTTTTTTTTTTTTTTTTTTTTTTTTTTTTGCTTTCACACAATATATACATTATATACATTATTTTCCTAGTTCTTTTACCTCGTTCCTACTTTTGCTACTTTATTCTTGAAATTCCAACCTTTTCCAACTTTTTGGTCCCACAACTCCAAAAATGAGATCTATATGGATAGTTTTCATAGCAGTGTTATACACACTGTCATATGTAAATCACACAATGAAGGGCTTGGGCGCAGGAGTACTGCAACTGTACTTCCAAGAGCTTAGTTGAGGATGTAGCACAAGTGTTGTGAGTACAGAACATGCCACATGAGGCTTATGATGCTGTGGACATGGGTGAGTATCAACGAAAACTACTCCTGAAAGCCTGCAAAATTCCTACTTATTATCCTGATTTTGTCCTCCGAAGTCCTACTTTTGTCCTGATTTTTAATTTTTTTTTGGAAATTTTGATCCTACTGTTCTCCTACTTTTTATGCTCGGCCTGCTTGAAGGTCTACCATACGCATGCTTTCATTCTGTTTTGTGTCCGTTGCAAAGTTCGGCCAACAGTTTAGAATAGGCCTAAATACACATGCGGGCCCAAGCCTCAATGTTTGCTTGCATATTTCCACAGATATCAATGAGTGTGCCAGCAATCCGTGCCAGAATTCAGCAGCCTGCGTGGACAGCGTCAACGAATTCACCTGCACTTGCCTGGCAGGGTACATCGGGATCCTCTGCGAGATCAGTGAGTATTTTTTTTTATAAAAACTCGTCCGATACAAGGTTGAAAGCCACAAGGACTACTAAATTGGGGAAAAAAGAGAGGCACTAGTGTCCCTGCGATCCTGTGTCCAAACAGGACGTCTTTTAAATTTAAGTAATTAAATTTTCAAACATCAACAAAATCAAAACTATCAAATTATGATGAAATACCTTACTTGACTGTAAGTGAATAATAGTCTCAAGCATCCTGTGAAATCATGGCACCTCGTGTGTTGTCATTTCCAAGAAAAGTGGAATTTTTGTATCAATATCCAACGATGGTCGACCAACCATTGTTGGAAAAAAAAATTGCCTTTGTTTTTCAAATACTGCCCCTAATTTGCCCAATTTAACTAGTCCACATTTTGTTTGCAATGGGTTCCACATCCGTGAACATATGCAAGCCAGCTAGTCTGGTTCCCTGACCTGACAATTCCCCGACGTCTTAAAATGCTCCATTTTGTCTGAAGTAGGGTCAGGGAACCGTACTACAGAAACAGCATTTTTTTTCTTGGTTATCAAGCATCTATGAGCACAAAACTTTTGAACAGGTCAGTGTGACAATATTTGCTATAAAATAGTAACCCCCAAATCCATCCATTTCTGAAAATTGCAGCACAAGTAAATGTTGTATATTACCTTAAAATGTTTGCCGAAACACTAGGGAGTATTTTCACCCTCTTTATTTTCCCCATTTTACTTTCAATGTACCCATTTTATTTTTAATGGATTAATTGATTTTTTTTTTTCAGATGTGAATGAGTGCAGCAGCAACCCTTGCCAGAACGGAGCCGCTTGTAACGATGGCGTCAATTCCTACACCTGCACATGTATGCCTGGTTTCCAAGGCACGAACTGTGAAGTCGGTGAGTTTTTGTTTTGTTTTGTTTTTTACTTTTGTCCATTTTTAATTTCCAAGCTTGAGGTCAAATTCATCACAGCCAAGAGACAACGTTCTGCTTAAGCGATACACGTACATGATTTTGTTGCAATGACCCTTTTTTTGCGCAGCCATGTCACAGACGCGTGTGTGTCCACAATTACGCATTATGTTGTATCATTTTTTTGGTCCACCTTTTACTACCAATTAGTTCAGGCACTGGTTCCATATGAAATACGTATGTGAAGTTTGTGTCGCGCGATAAAATCTCTTCTCTTCGAAAATTGCGTGATAAGTTGTTTGACATTTTTTGACGTTGTTACATAAATGCTAACACCCTCATTGATATATTTTGTATATTTATAAAAACAAGCGACATTGTCAAGTTTTTAATTCGTAATTTTTTGTCCTGTCTTTTTGCCGTGGTTGACAGATATCGACGAGTGTGGCAGCAACCCTTGTCAGAACCAGGCGGAATGTCTGGACCTGGTCAATCTATTCCGCTGCATCTGTCGCGCGGGATACATCGGAGAATTCTGCCAAATCGGTAGGTGCCGGTAGAAGTAGTGCTGCAGTATCATGGCACTTTTATATCAAAGCAAACCAGCGTCAGTTACGCATGTCAGCAACGCATATTTTAGCGCTGCATATTTATTTTTACTCAGCCAAAATTATCAAACCTCCCTCAAATGTCTTCTTTTTTTCAAGTCGACCAACAAAAGAACGAAAGACAAAGCTATTTTTAGCTGCGGGATAGCAGCGCAACAAATCATCATGTCTCTCCGTTAGTTAGTTAGTTAGTAACAAGCATTGACATTGTCTATTGCTCGTACATATTTTGACTGATTTCAACCAAACTTTGTCACAAGTATCAGTAGCCCAGCCCCAACATGTCACATGACCAAACTGGAGTCAAAGGTCATAATGAAGTCACTTGGGTCAGAAAATCTTCTTCTTTTTTGTTATTTTAACAAGAATTCGTTTGCCCGCAGCTTCTGAGATATGTCCGATCAAGCTTGTCAATTAGGGAAGAAGGATGATTGTGAAAAGATTTAGACTTCCAATCCTTTTTGAATTTCAGAAATTTTTCATTTCAAAAGTGTGTTCCTGAAACGTAAATTTACCTGTATTCCCATTATCATTTGTTGTTGTTTTTTAGCATGGTTGATATTTCTATCCTTTATTATCATTTTGCTTGTGTTTTCATGTCTGTTTTGTGTCAGATGTTAACGAATGTGCCAGCAACCCTTGTTTCAATAACGGCAACTGTGTGGATGGAGTTAACCAATACACGTGTAACTGCTTGGCTGGATACGAGGGCAGTCGCTGTGAAATCGGTACGTATTAACTTAAATCTGATAAAAGTGCCGTGCATGAAATTAGGGAAATTGGGTGACCGCTTTTCAAGCGTCTTGTTCAAACAACGGAAAGCAACATTATTCGCTTCGTTCACAAGTACCCCCTCACCGGCAGAGAAAGTACAGTTGGGGGTGACCGAATGACGCCATCTCGCCTGACTGCAATATTTTGCCGCGCCAAGCCCGGCCACTGCGTGTACATAGTAGAAATCCCCTGGTGCACGCTCGTCAACCAGCGAAATATCTGTGTCCCCCCATGGGAGGTTGTTGCTAGGTAAAAGGGCGCCCTCTTTTGTTTGCGCATGGAGCCCATGGTCCTGTGGTAAAATGACGTCATGTTTTGTTTACTTGTGCACTTCTAATTGCCTTTTCTTGTCTTGCCTTTTTAGATACTAACGAGTGTTTCAGCAGCCCTTGCCAGAATGGAGGTTTCTGTCTTGACCGCGTCAACTCATATGAGTGTCTCTGCCCTCTGGGATACAATGGAATGAACTGCCAAACCAGTAAGACATCGGTCATATCCATCCATTGCCCCCCCCCCCCCCCTCCCCCCCCCCCCCCCCCCCCCACCCTCCTCACGACAACATTTTCCAATGGTGTTCCTGTGAATGGAAGGAATTTTTTAGAGTTGTAATGACTGGAGTTAGTGACTCGACTCGAGTCCGACTCGAACACAATTTTGGCAACTCGACTTGATTCAAGTCCCAACGGGTAACTGACTTGACTTGACTCAATCATTGCAAGCAAATGACTCGACTCGACTTTACTCGAGTCACTCATCAGAAAACTTGACTCGACTCAAGTCGAAGGCTAATAACACTCTAGTCCCAGAGCTTTGCGAAAACATATTTGCGGTGACTTAGGGTACAAAGTTGCTTATGTTCGTGTACGTTGCGTTACCGTCAAGTTGTGGCCACTTATCGAATACAAATATATGCCTTATCAGACTCCCCCACCTCGTGGTTTTATAATGTAACACACAAACTACTATCCCGGAACCAGACTGTAAATGTATTGACCTTCGTGACCTAATGACTCAACTCGACTCAAGTTATTTCCTTAAAATGACTCGACTCGACTCGAGTCACAAAATTCAGTGACTCGTTACAACGTGAAGTTTGGACTTTGTGCCCCTCTCACCTCTCTCGTCAACCTCCCCACCCCACCCATCCATGCAACCCTTCCCCTACCCCTGATCCCTCCCTCTCCTCCTCTGCCCTTATCAAACCCTCTGTAATTGCTGGCTGTAGCCCCACCACTCAATCAGCCCTATCATCAGTCATATAAGCCCTACTGGTTTTCCGGATGATCTCCACTCATAAATTAAATTGTAACAGTTCTCATTTTCATTGATAACAACTTGATGAACTTGATAAACTGAACCTGATTCTGAAAAACTGCACTTCTCTGTGCTCTCATGAAAGCTTCAGTAAGTAATTGAAAAAATTTAGAAAAACTGTCTGGTTTGTATAAACGGGATCTGATGAAACTCTTTATTCATGCATGTTCCATTTCCTTTGTTTTGTTTTTTTAATAGACACTAATGAATGTGCCAGTCAGCCCTGTTCTAACGGCGGCACCTGCAGGGATGAGGTGAATGGTTACAGGTGTACCTGCGTGCCTGGTTGGACCGGCGCTAACTGCGATCAAGGTCAGAATTCGCCATTTTTAGGATCTTGGCAGAATTTATAAGAACAGTCAAATGAATATTTTTGGACCAAGCCAACAATAGATTTCAGGGAAATGTATCACAGAAAATGTTTATGTTCGAAAAAAAAAATTGAGAAAGAATTTTTTTTATCTGATAAATTTCAGAGGTTCACTGCATGGTAACATGAAAAAAAAATTCACAGAAATAAGGATTTTTTATAGATTTTAGATTTTATTGTGTATTTCAGTGTATATAACATGCATGTTACACCTTTAATGTGCATCAAGTTTGCTTGGAGATACACCAGATATCCTAGCACGAGTAGAACATAGAATAATGTAGTGTGTCTGTGTCCAACATGCCGTACAGCCTCTCGTCCTCATGGATAACGAAACACAAGACAAACAACATTATTCCATGTTCCATTCGCACTCCTGCGAAAAACTTAAATAATTTAGTTCATGGGTCTTTGAGTTACTGGATACCATTAGCAAACATTCAATAATGAAACTGTCAAAATATGAATAATCCTACTTAATTGTAAGTAAGTAATATGATCACGCATCCTATAAAATCATTTCGTCTAGAATTCTGTCATGTCCTCAAGATGGTTTAGACAGAACCACCTCACCGTTAACAGAAACCTTTTCTTTGCGATGGGAAAAGTTAAGATGAATTTTCATACTTTCCTCCCCAAAAAAATCTACTGAGCTGAAATTTCAACAGGCTTAAGTTTTTTAATGGCCTGCTTAAGATTTATTGTATGGTTGTTCCCTGAATCAGCAAAAAAACACCTTTTTTTTGCAAAGGATGTCTAGTTCACTATACAGGATGAGTAAAAATAAAGGGAAACCCAAATGGCAGGACCAATTTTTGAATGAAATTTTGCCTGAAGCACCTCCAAAATCTAGGGCATGAAAGCCCAATCAATGGGCTTTCTTTTAGTACAAGAATCATTCAAATCACTCATGTACTTTTTAAGTTACGAAATTTTGAACACAAACACTGTTTAAAAGTTCTGTCCACGGATCACCAAAAAAGTAAGCTGTACATCACTGAATTGAGATTGTATTTGATCTTGTGCCCTAACTTCACAGATATCAACGAGTGTGCCAGCAACCCTTGCCGCAACGGAGGACAGTGTAACAATCAGCTCAATAGCTACTCCTGCGTTTGCCGCTCTGGCTACAACGGCGTGAACTGCGAGATAGGTATTAGCTTGTTGGGTCAACATTTCTGTGTTTGTTTTCCCCTTATTTTTGATATTGGTGTCGGGTCATGGAAGGGGGTTTCTTGAAAAAATTAAGAGAGCGACAGAGACCTGATTCTGCGGCAGAGACCAGGGGCAAATTTCACTAACCTCGTCTTATTTTGCGACTCATCTTAGGTCTTAAGACGAGTCCCCGCTCTAAGATCAATCTTAGCCAAGACATGTCGTTAGACAGATTTCGCTAAACCCATCTTAAGTGAGACGCATCAAAACTACCAATTTGATGGCTGTTTCATGTTTGTTTTTACCGCTGGACGAAACACTTGTTGAAAAGAAATGCACAAAACCAACTTCCCGTAAGCATGCACAGAACATTAACTTTCGCCAGAAAAAAAGTACTCTACTCAATACATTTCACAAAAGGTAGTTCTACACAAGATACAATAGAGTCATTCTTGCTCCCTATTTCACCACTCTATTTTAAAAGTTGACTAAATATAATAAATGGCGTATAATAAACTGTTGTAAATAAGCTATTTTTATTAACACTACCTTCGTATCAGAAGTCTTTTCAAATCTGTTTCTTACAGCAATTTTCTTTCTCGAAGCGATAACTGTAGGCTGACGCTCGTCTTTAACGGCAATGATTTCCAGACAACTTACAAATTAACGTACGCATTAATGAGATAAGACGACCCTCAGACCGATGTTAAGTTAAGGCCGCGTTGCTAAGGAAGTTAGGACGTGTTGAATGTGTCTTAAGTTGGTGAAATTGATCCTAGGACAAGTTGCGAGATGAGACCAACTACCCTTCCTAAGACACGTCTTAGCGTTTCGTGAAATCGGTCCCTGATCAATTGACTTGTTCAAAATGGCGGCGCACATGTTGACGGAAGGTGACAGGACAAACTATGAATTTAACTGAGATTTTTCTGTCTAAAGGATTGTAAAGTGTAACACTTGCTGTTGGCAAATGACTCTGTGCGTATGGGTTTCCAATTTCAACAAGCCTTTAACTTGTGTTGCCCTGTCTGCCCCAGATATTGATGAGTGTGCCAGTGGCCCATGTCAGAACGGTGGACGGTGTAGGAACGACATCAACGCTTACTTCTGCCAGTGTCCTGCAGGCTACAGTGGTGTCAACTGCCAAACAGGTAAGAAGATATGTTGTCTTTGGCTATAGCTATTCACTGTACTGTACCACATCAATGGCAAAGACCAAAGCCATAAGAGACTTGGCCTGAACCATTTGTTGTATACGGCTATGGCTACTCACTGTATTAAACCAATGGCAAATTCCTCATTGCCTGAGGAATTTGTTGTCTAAGGCTATGGCTACTAACTGTACTGTACTAATGGCGAAAAAGCGAAGTCATAGCCAGAAGAGACCTGATTCAGACATCATCGGAGCCGTTTTGTGGCTATGGCTATGGCTATTCATTATACTGTACTGTGCCAATGGCAGAAACTTGAGCCATAGCCACAAGAGACCTGATTCAGACATGGCCTGAGCCATTTGCTGTGCACAGCTATGGCTATTCACTATGTTGTACAAATGGCAAACACCAAATCCATAGTCACAAGAGACCTGATTCAAGCATGGTCTGAGCCATTGGCAAACTAAATATGGGTAAAGTCTAGTATCATAGACTTTGGGTGTCTCGAACGTCAAAGTGCAGTGCAGCTGGGCCAAAAGTCAAGATAGCAGCTATCATTACTGCTCCTTCACTGAATAAGTGCTTTCATTTTTATGTACAAAAACTTAACGCAAGTTGCAGTAGGGACTTAAGTCCGCCATCTTTGTTCTTGACGTTCGTCATCTACTCCCCAATGAGTTCGGAGTGAAAAGCCTGTCCATGAACACTGTTCGCATGGTGGTTCTCGTTATTGAGAACCCCGTTCTCGTGTTCTTTCAACACGAAAACGGTATTTCTAATACGCCCTTTGTGTTTACCTTCTTAAACATTTAAATATCCGTTGCCTAAATTTCTGCCAGAGAGAGACTTAACTTTCAATTTCAGTGAAAAATCTTAATCAAAGGAGGTGAATTTAATATCGTTTTTCTCTTCTGTTTTGTCCCCCAGATATCAATGAATGCGACAGCAATCCATGTCAGAACGGTGCACAATGCCAGAACAACATCAACTTCTACGTCTGCAACTGTCTGCCTGGATATGAGGGAACCCAATGTCACATCGGTATGTCTGTCACCATAGGCGTAGCCAGCGGGGGGGGGGTAAGGGGGACATTTAACACCCCCCCCCCCCCCAATATTTTGTAACGACTGCCCTTTTCCATTCAAATGCCCTTTTGTCAACGGGCTTACCCCCACCAATAATTTGTAAAGAGTGGCCTTTTTTTTACGAAGTGCCCTTTTTTTTTCTGAACAAGTGCCCTTTTAAAAAAGATGTGGGGCCCTTTTTTGTGGCATCTGCAGTTTTGGGTGCCTTTTCACTCTTTATAATTTTTCGAATTTTAAAATTGGAATTACTTTTGAAGATGTGTCGGTTCTCAAAGGTAACGGACACCATTTGCAAACATTCGAAAACAGAACTGCCAAAATATTATGAAGTATCCTGCTTGATTGTAAGTAAAGAATAGGATCAAGTATCCTCTGAAATCGTCGTGCCTAGTAGGCTGTCATTTCAATGAAAAGAGGAATTAATATCGTGTCCTCGTTATGTCACGATTAAAAAAATACTGCCCCAATTGACCAAATTTAGTTTAGTTTGTGATCGGTTAGATCTCTGTGAGTGAGCACTATTTTTCCGAGTGACAAACTGGGGATCGTACCACAAGAGGGTGCGAGTCAAAATGTATTAATGAACATTTTGGAAGGGAGGGCTTTCAATGGAAACCTTGCTTGTGTCCAGAAAAATGCATATGTATTTTTACATTTTTCTCAAAAAGTATATCTACTTTAGTTTCTTAATAGTTCCTTGAATCTGCAAAAATACAATTACATTTTTGCATATGAAAAATACATGCACTCGGTCCGTCCTTAGAAGAATGCTGAGAATACTGATATTTGAATCTCTCTTCAGTTTTCCACAGACTATCAGTAGTAGCTAGGCCTCATTCACGGGTCGGCCATATTAAATTGGAAGTGCCCATTTTCCCGCATCATCATGAATATTCATTTTGATTTATAACTCCTCCCACCTCCCCTCTCCAGACATGAATGAGTGCGCCTAGGCTCTGCCCATTTCCCTCAATCATCGTGAATATTCAGTTTGATTTATAACTCCTCCCACTTCCCCTCTCCAGACATCAATGAGTGTGCCATGGCTCTGCCCATATTCCCTCATCATCATGAATATTCATTTTGATTTATAACTCCTCCCACTTCTCCTCTCCAGACATCAATGAGTGCGCCAGTCGGCCATGTCGCAACGGAGCGTCCTGCTCGGACCAGGTCAATGGTTTCACATGTACATGCCAGCCGGGATGGTCAGGGCCAACGTGTGCTGATAGTAAGTACAACCCAACCCTGCCTAACTCTTATCCTGCCTAACTTTTTGCCCACAAATTGCCTAACTCTTAAACCAGTTTGATAATTCTTTTCAAGTTTAAAAGGTTATTTCATCCTTGTCAACACAAGCATCGAGATTTTCATTTTCTGTACAAGTCTCTTCTGTTTGACTGTTGTAAATAACTACATATATGTGAAGCATTCTGTCTAAATGAGACAGAACTGGGCAGAGGTCGAAATGAGGGTTTGTGGGTATTAGGAAGGAGAATAAAATTTGCTCTACAATACTGTTTGTTGCACTTCAATCGGACATTGCATTTATCGACATGTCCAAAAAGTAAAATACTGAGAAAAAGGCCTTTAATTTTCAAGGTTTGTAGTTTTGAGTATGGAAGATGCCATTTTGTTTCTCCTTAGATAAAATTTTATTCTACAATTTTGATACTGTCTTTGAAATAAGTGCATTAGACGTAATCAAAGATTACAAATATCAATAAATCTGAAAATCAGAAAAAGTTCACTATTCAGTTTTTTTGCATTTTTCTCCAATTTGGCCTGTGCCCAGTTCTGTCTCAATTTGCCCGAACGCCTCACATATAAGAGATCAAGACATTTTGTCAACACGGATGCCACGAGCTGTTTTTCAACTTGATATAGTTGTTTGGGTTGCTCCAAATAGCACATTGAAGTTCAGATTGAGAATTTGTATTCATTTTGTCACAGAATGCTTTTAAAAGGTGAGTTAAAATGGCTGTTATTAAAAAAAAATAAAAAAAAAAATTTAAATATGTAGAAAATGAAAACACCGTGTTCTTTTCCCAGCGTGATGATACATGGTGATGTCAGTCCAAAACAAAAAGCAAGAAGGAAGAATTTTGCTAATAAAATATTTGACATTTTTGTCATCAGATATCAACGAGTGCGTCAGTTCACCTTGTCAGAACGGCGGTAACTGCGTCGACCAGATCAACCGATACGTCTGCCAGTGCGTAGCGGGATATACAGGCACCAACTGTGAAAACAGTAAGTCCTCCAGACAAAAAAAAATGAATCAGATCCTACAAATCGTCGAGAGCCCGGCAGAAGGGCGTATGAGCATTCTGACGCAAAAATCACCTTCATTGAAAGGTTCTATTGTTCTCCCACGCGTAATATGAATTGCACGATTTTGAAATTTGTCGTATTTATCACTCATGAGTTTTGGAACAAACTGTAGTAATTTCTGACGAAAAATTTCATTAAAATAGAGGCAGTTTTCTGCGTATGCTCTTTTGCTGGGAACATTTTGGTGATTACGCGCTATTGCATATTAGGGCATACGCGCATATGCCCTTCTGCCGGGCGCACGACGAAATGTAGTATTTTAAGACAAGCTTGGCTTTGAAGAATGTGCTTAAAGCCCGTAAGATCATTTGAAATTACCCCAAAACCTTGCTCGAAGTGATGATAAGGATGGTACCAAATACCCTGTGAAATTATTCCTCCAGAAATTCTTTCATTTAAAAGAAAACAATCATTGAAGTTGGTTTAAAAAATGTGCCAGCATGCAAAATGCAAAATCTTTAAAGTTAAAAAAGGTTATTGAATGATTATTACAAAAAAGTACCTTTTCTTGCATTTGTTTTTACTCTTTCACTTAGATTAGAAAGTCCCGGATTTGCTTCATTTTCATTCCTCTATTTGTTTGCCTTTCACAGATATCCAAGAGTGCGCTAGCCAGCCCTGTATCTTCGGCCAGTGTTCAGACGGCATCAACGGATTCACCTGCACCTGTCAGGCTGGGTACACGGGAACCTTATGCGAAGCCAGTACGTTCTGTTTGTTGGTTCATTTGTGTGTGTCTCTGTGTATTACTGCGTTGGTCCAGTAAGCCAACTCGGTATTCCAACTGGGCATGTGTATCACAAGATTCGATGATTTTCTCGGTGCTCAGTGCTCTTATGTCAAACTGGAAGGCTGAAAGGGCGTGGCGTCCCTTGTGTCAGTATTAGACTCCCAAGATGCCAAAACAACATAGGAAATGGTCATGGAAATCCCTGATTATGTCCTGGAAAAATCATGGCAAAAGTCCTGGAATTTCATTTCAAGTTTTCTGTGGGAACCCTAAAAAGAAAACTCATATTGTGAATCAGTGGTCTTACGTCAAACTGGAGGACTGAAAGGTCGTGGCGTCCCTTGTCTCAGCATTAGACTCCCAAGATGCCAAAAACAGCATAGGAAATGGTCATGGAAAGCCCTGATTTTGTCCTGGGAAAATCATGGCAAAAGTCCTGGAATTTCATTTCAAGTTTTCTGTGGGAACCCTAAAAGAAGAAAACTTATATTGTGAAGCAGTCTAATGTTCATTCTCGTTTTAGAGTTGAACAAAGAGATTGAATTTTTCTTTGTTTTTTTTTCACAGACATCCAAGAGTGTTCCAGTAACCCATGTGAGAATGCGGGACGATGTATCGATGGCGTCAACAGCTACTCCTGTGACTGCGTACCGGGATACGTTGGTGAAAGGTGTCAAACCGGTGAGTCACGGAACCCACTGCTACATCAGATTCGAACCAGCCAACTGATCCCGCAAGCTTGGTGGTCAATTGGTGAGACGCCTGCACTAGAAAGCAGGAGGTCATGGGTTCGAGTCCCACCCGAGTGATTTTTTTCTCACTTTCACTCGGTGGGTAACACATGGAGTATACAGTGTTTATACGTACGTCGGTGAAAGGCAAAACCTAACATTGCATTTACACCACCCCAACGCAAATTCCATCTTATCAATAGTTCCAGAATACAAGTACTGGAAGTTGGTTGCAATGCCAACAAGACATGCTTAATTCAGTAGTGTATCCATGTTTTACGTGTGGGGGGGGGACAACATGGATGGATGGACAAAATTGATAAAAGAAAAAGTGGCCCACAATTTGTGGGGGTTGTAAAAACAGCTTAAAGCAGCAGAAAGTATTACTTGAGCATGCAACATTTCCTCTTTGTTTCACTTCAGACATATGTCATTAAAAATGTAAAACACTTTGTTTGTAACGATTGGAATTTCTTCCTTTTTGTGGTCACTTGACAGTTCCATTCCTGATTACTGCTACTAATGGTCGTCAGGTGGTGGCACTTTCATTTATTTTAAAAAAGAAAAAATTAACAAGAAAAAAAGTGAAAAATGTCACAGTGTTTTACTTTGATTAAAACAGTCTTTGTTTTCCCTTCTTTGTCTTCGTTACAGATGTCAATGAATGTGCCAGTGGGCCCTGCCAGAACGGCGGTATCTGTAGCGATCAGGTGAATGCATTCTCGTGCGCCTGCCCAGTCGGATTCTTCGGAATCTACTGTGAAACCAGTAAGTTTTTATTAACAAAATTGTGGTCTTGCTTTCTTGTCCCAACAAAAACCAAAAAATCTTACCCCATAGCCAGCCTGGTGGAAGGGGAGGGTCGTTGTTACCATGAAGTGGACCTTTTCACCATAAAGCGGAACTTTTCACCATAAAGTGGACCTTTTCATCATAAAGTGGACCTATTCACCACAAAGTGGACCTTTTCATCATAAAGTGGACCTATTCACCACAAAGTGGACCTTTTCACCATAAAGTGGACCTATTCACCACAAAGTTGACCTTTTCACCATAAGGTGGACAGGGGTGTGATTTTTCCGGATTTTTCCGGATTTCCGGATTTTTATCTAACGTCTGCGGAATTGTTTTGCGGATTCCGGTTTTTTAACGTTTTCTGTTTCCGTAATAATATCGCCCAAAAACTTCTGGCGAAATATAGGCTCTAATTTACGATAATGGATGGACTGGTGACAAGTCTAATGCAGTGCGGTCAAAAACCTAATAGACATTAATGCAGTATGCGCAGTGGAGTACTTGAGGACCAGACTAAAAATAATTTTCAATGGGTTTGCAGCACCTCGTGTTTGTATATCGCGTGTGTGGGTGAGCTTGTCTTACATACGCAGTGTGGACTTCCGAACAAAAGACGTCCACATAATGTAGGTAGCAGCGACGAAGTGTGGACTTGCCCACGTCCACACAGTGTTTCCCCATTTCTGGAAAACAGGTTTAGAGGCATTTTTGGGTTAGGTTTATCTGTAGCAGAATGAAGAGAAACACTAAAGGGAATCATTGAAAAAAAATTGGGTTGTAAGAGTTTTCACAGTTTGAGAAAAATGAGTTTTTCCACTGGTGTTCCTTAACTACACGAAAAGAAAGGAAAGTCCACACTAGGTATGTGAAACAAGTCTGGGTGTGTGTGTATTGTGCATGTAGTGTGCAGTGACGATCGTGTGCTAGCAATTCGCAAACACATTGGTGTCAATATTGCCGCGATTTTGTCAAGGAATTCAAGAGTATGGCTGGAAGAACTGGTAATAAAACGTCACTGTGGATGGAAATCAGTTTGAGCTGCAGTAGTGCTTTGAAAAATAGCCACCACCAACACAAAATTTCAAAAATGTTTTGGAAGCCTGGGGCTGGGACTGGAGTTTAAAGTAAGATTAAACTTTTTTCAGCACCGTTCATATTGTTTTGTGTGAATCGTTTCTCTCTGCAACATGCAAAAGTAATAACATCACACACAGAAAAAGCCTTTATGAATCAATCACATATGGATTATATTAATTTAATGACCAGACGTTTTTTCTTAATTTTTCCCCCATTTGTTTTCTTTACTGAAGCAACAAAATTTGCTAACATTACAGAAATTACAGATACAGTACATAAAATGTACATGCCCTAGGCCTATATATGGACATACGTGCATGCATATGTATACATGTACATCTATACAAGTACATGTACAATAATACATGTACATGTACATGTACATGTATATTACATGTCAACCGAAGTTCGTGGATTTTTCATTTTTGTCCAATCACACCCCTGGGTGGACCTTTTTTCCACAAAGTGGGCCTGTTACCACAAATTGGACCTTTTCACTATAAAGTTGACCTTTCCACTATAAAGTTAACCTTTCCACCATAAAGTGGACCTTTTCACCAAAAAGTGGACCTTTTCATGTGTAACTAGAAAGCACTCAGAGAGCGCACACCTCCACCAAGGCTGAACAATTCCTTGCCGTATTGTTAGTACACCCATACAGCCTTGCATATCCATTGGACTTCCATATTATGTGGCACATTTAAAACATCTTTAAACTCACAATACTTTGTATGTTTATGCCTGTGTTGGTCTACTTTTCCACTCCCCCGTTGTATAAAATGGTATAGTCCATTGACCTGTGTGGTTAGATTAGGTGGGTTACAAGGCATACAGGGTCACCAGGTCAGTGCCACGCACATGAACCTTTGCACAGAGTGATCCGATGAAATGTGGGTGAAAAATTCTTTACAAAAATCCTGCATCCACACACAGAACCGGATCACTTCCAAAATCTAATCGATTTGTACTTGTACCAAGGACCCACCCCTTAAAAACCCCAACCCTGATTCCCTGACAAATGTTTGTTACTGATGTCGAAATAATTTCATTCCGTGATTTTTTTTTCTAGACAGGGATGAGTGTCGCAGCAACCCATGTAGGAATGGCGCAACCTGCAGCGATGGTGTCAATGGATACAGTTGCCGGTGTGCACCAGGCTTCAGCGGAGATAACTGTGACACGGGTAAGTGCAGTTGTTAAACATTCTGAAAGATTACAAGCAATATAAAGGTAGAGTAGATCATTTGCAGCTGTCCAAAAAGCTAATAGCAATAAACTCCCTGTGAAATTATTCGGAAAGCTTATAGCTTTAATGTTCAGCGCATTCTAATAGAACTTGCGCTTTGTAAATGAATAAATTATTATTTATATATTCAGGAAGCTGTAGAATGTGTAGCATCTACCTATTTAGGGAATGAACCTTAACACGTGCGTAGTTTGGCAGTGGCATTCAAGCGTCCATCTAGTTTCTGTTTTTTACTGCAGAGCTAACACACGGAGTCCAAGCCAACTTGTGGTCAGATCTACTTCAATAGTGGATATTTACGTTAAATTATTTGTCCTCAGCATTCCACAAAAATAATAACAATGTGATGATTCTTTTATTTATTTAGTAATTTTTTTTTTGTAATTGTTTTGCAGATATCAACGAATGTGCGTCCACGCCTTGCTTGAACTTCGGCGACTGCGTGGACCTGGTCAACCGGTATGAGTGCCGCTGTGCGCCGGGTTATGATGGCACCAACTGCGAAATCAGTAAGTTCTCTCCTCTCAAATTAACACAAGTTTTGGAATTGCTTTGGTTTCAAGATTTAAGAAGGTGGAAATGGTTACAGGAAATACTTAAAAATTGTTGTGAATAACTGGTAAATATTTACCAAATAAAGATTTGAAATGGACCATATGCAATAATAATACATGTAATACTAATGTGGTGCCGAAATAACGCTTGTAGACCTGAGGATTTGATACACCGTGCCCTCTGGAGACATGCACACAATAGGGAACAAAAGATTGTATACGTCTCCACAGGGCAATTTCTGTAGATGAATACGTCTCCACAAGGTTTTCATGAAATAAATATATGGATTTTACTCAAAAAATAGGAATTTCCATGGTGGGTTGATCCATCGCAAATGGAAGAGTTTCAGAAAAGGGATATGAAGTCCGATTGTCAGCCCAGGAAATTAATTCTGGTTAAAATAAGAGCATTTTGAAACTACACTTTCAAACTCAGAAACTTTACTACACGAGAACAAAGAAATGTCTCCACAAGGATATAAATTTCAGTATGTATGTTTCAAAGCGCTTTACAATGTTACCCCTGTTCATCAGGAATGAGACAATTTTTCTGCAGCAGCTCGAGATCAGCGCAATCTGGTCTCTACCTTCACAGGCACCCATTTATACTCCTGGGTGGAGAGAGGCAATTGTAGTAAAGTGTCTTGCCCAAGAACACAAGCACCGTGTCTGGGTCAAACCCATGTACCGTCGCGCATGTCACCATTGAACCTCATCATTTCACAAATTACACCAATTTTCTTATTCATTGTTTTTACCCCTAGATATCGATGAGTGCACAAGCAGTCCGTGCTACAACGGCGGTGTTTGTCTCGATGGAGTCAATTCCTACACCTGCAACTGTCGCGACGGATATGTTGGATCTCGCTGCCAAACCGGTAAGAAATTAAGTTTAAAACAAAAAAATCAAAAGCCACATTCCCCCCTTTTAATTTGAACATATCCATGCTCCATAAATAAACTAGACAGGATTCAATGAGCAATTTGTTTTACAAACAAATTTACACTGCTTTTTTTTTTGTAAAATTTTGTGAAGCTAAAGCAGCTCAGGTATGAAAATCTGTGAAATGTTCTAAAGTAAACACTTGAAATTGCTCAGCAGTTTGCGATACAAGTCAAGTACAAAATTTCCTCGGTGATTACCCCCACACCGATCCTCTATGTTTGCTTTCATTCTAAATATCAGTTTATTAAGTAGGGAAGTAAGACCACCTATGAGAAGACAATATGGCACTTTGGGTCCCTCGTTGACGTATACAATTGTGCAATTAGAGCAACCGGTTGAAGACAGCAAAATTTCATTAGTATTATCGCTTGAGCCTGTTGTAAATTCTCTTGTCCAACTCACATCACGACTTAAATTTGTTAATTCTTTGTACTTCAGATGTGGATGAGTGTGCCTCCATGCCTTGTCAGAACGGCGGTGTGTGTGAGGATCAAGTCAACAGCTACCGATGTAACTGCCAGGACGGATTCACAGGAACCAACTGCGAGATAAGTAAGTATAGCAAAGATCCCTAACGTGGATAGAGCTCTTAGAATTTTTCCCTCATTTTTTCCTCATGCACTGTTGCCATTCCTCTTTGTGGACAAACTTCAAAATATTGGTACTTCAACCTTGATAAAAAAAAAAAACAAAGTTGGACAATTGACTGGAGCAGGGTTTGAACCTGCAACCTCCGGATTGCCGTTCCGGTGCTCTACCAACAGAGCTATCCAGCCCTAATAAAATGTGTTGGAAACCTTCTAAACAAATTTAGTCGTATGAAATGAAGTCTGCAAGTCAAACAACAGTGTCCAGAAATTGGGCTAAAACAAAACTGGGTGGAGGGTTCCCTATAAAAACATGGTAAATTTTCAATAGATTTTTTAAGTGAAAGTGAAGTCATTCTTTCCAAAAAGTGATAAACCTATTAGAAAAAAGGGAAATGTTTGCATGATGACGAAACTTTAAAGAATAAAAACAGTATAACAACTGTTTCTAAACTTCATATTTTGCTTTATTGAATTCTCAGATTGTGTTTAACAATATAAAACTGATCAAAACTGACATGAGGCATCCAGAAGAGAGCAGGATTCAAAAAGTTAACTCTTCAAGTGTAACAAGATCTGGTACACGGTACCCTCTGGAGACATGTGCACAATAGGGAACAAAAGATTGTATACGTCTCCACAGAGCAATTTCTATAGGTGAATACGTCTCCACAAGGTTATCACGAAATAGATATATAGAATTTACTCCAAAACTAGGAATTTCCAAGGTGTGTTGATCGGTCGCAAATTGAAATATTTTATGTAAGGGATATTAAGTCTGAATTTCAGCCAAGGAAATTAATTCCGGTTAAAATAGTACACTTTCAAACTCGAAAACTTTAGTACACGAGAACAAAGAAATGACTCCACAAGGATACAAATTTCAGTGTGTGTGTTCTTTCAAATCGACAAATTCTGAAAAACTATAATTATTTCCAGTCCCATATGCTTGTCGGAAATCATTTTCTCAGGGGTGTGAAATCTCAGCTTTAAAGCTGACTTCAGCTTTTTTTGTTTTGGATTTCAGCTTTTTTCCCGCTCTTGCTGTGTACAAAAGTATAAGAGATTTCCAAAGTTCAAGCATTTTTACACCTTTTTCAGCTGTTTTCAGCTATTTTTATCAGTGGTCACTCACACCCCTGTTTCTTTTGGATGCTTTTTTGGAAATACTGACTGTATGAATTTTCATAATGAATGGGGGTGTTTTTCTTGTTGCAGACAACAACGAGTGCTCTAGTGGACCATGTGTCAACGGTGCATGTATCGATGAGATCGGTGGTTACATGTGTGTCTGTAACCCTGGCTACACCGGCGTCAACTGCGAGATAGGTGAGTGGAGGCCAACTTTGTCAAGTTTTACAATTGTTTATTTATTTAATTTGTGGGGGTCTTGATGATTAGGTTGGTGATTTAAGATTAAAGGAAACCCATGCATTAATTCCATACAAAAAAAATGTTAAAACGTATTTTTTTTTCCAAGTTTTAAAAAATGGGCAATTCAGGCGGTATGTAATGTTCGTGACAGAGCTGTGAAGAGCTCAGTGAATAAACCTGACAATGTGTTTTTCGAATCATATACATCCATCATCTAGTAATGGTCAAGGAGATTACAGACTACGAGTTTTGGATCATTTCTCTGAATTGTTAATGTGATATGGTTAATTGGCTCTGTCACGGACATTACACTTCTTTTCATAACACTGGAACTGCCTAGATATTGGATAGTGTGTTCATAACAATTTGAAGTTTTTTAATCAAAATTTTGCAGAGCTGCTTATTTCTTTCAGATTGCCACAGGAATCGTTAGAAAAAAACAAACATTTCCCCGTTTTCCATTGTTAAATATTCAAAGGCCCCCATTAAAAGCAATATGGAAATGCAAATGGGCATAAAATATGTATCTTGTTAATGTTCTGAAGCACTCGTACAGTTTCGACCACAAAGAGAAAATAAAAATGGTGGTAAATTAACAAATACGCTTCTTGGAGCTGAGGGAATGGTTTTCAAAGGATGTCAGTTTGAAAAAAATGTTCAAGTTGGTAAGCAATTGTTTCTTCAAGTGGATCATAAGCTCAAGAAGATTTACACATCATAATATATAACATATAAATTGTCATCCATGTTAAAGCTGACTTTGCTCTTTTTCTTTCATCTGCACAGATATTGATGAGTGCGCTGTGAATCCGTGTCGCTTTGGAGGGGCCTGTACTGACGGGATCAACTCATATACCTGCCAGTGCGTCCCAGGATTCACCGGCGACAACTGCGAAATCAGTAAGTCCGACCAGTCAAGGGTGGTTCAGCCGGCAGAAAATGCCTATTATAATATTGTTTGGAGCCATTAGAAATAGACCATGACTGAATTACTTGGCTATAACTATGGCTATGCCTATGGCTATGCCTATGGCTATGGCTATGGCTATGCCTGTCGCTAGGGCTATGGCTATGGCTATGGCTATGCCCGTGGCTAGGGCTATGTCTATGGCTATGCCTATGGTTATGCCTATGGCTATGGACACACCAACATGTGTCTATGGGAAGTGGATTCAGCCACATCCATAGGCGCATGTTTAATATGAAGCCGCAGCCGGGTAATTTGGAAACGGCAGTATTTAATGGCTTTTCTGACCAAGGAACTCTGTGCGTATGATAAGCTTTCTGTGCTCACAGCGCTAGCTCAGAAATTCTTCACAGAATCTCAAAACGACGTGTTTTTTTTCCCCCTTCACTCAGACATTAATGAGTGTGCCAGCCAGCCCTGTCAGAACGGTGGCCGCTGTAGCGACGAAGTCAACGCTTACTCCTGCATCTGCCCCACGGGATTCGAAGGAATCAACTGTCAAGTCGGTAAGACCAAGCGACATCGCGATCCTTAGGTCAGGTCCTTATGAAATGGAAACGAATCCTTTTACCATGTATCTATTTTACAATCTGCCTGGAATAGTGAAGTAAGCTGATTCTTCGTTTACAATTATCGTTGTGTGTTTCAGTTTTCTTAAGCGCCACAAAGTCAGAGAAAGGATGGCATATGTGTTGCTTGGCGTCTACTTTTCTTCTTTCAGAATTTAAATTTTTCTCATTTTGTTCCATGTCTTTTTTTATTCTTGTTGACAATTCCCGTTTTGTGGTTTTAAAGAGAAATATAGTCAGAACCAGAGTTAGGGAAGACGTAACGAGGATTCACACACACCACTGTCCCATTTGTGAAAAATTTGGTTTCATAACATATTTTCAACCCATTTAAAAAGTTAATAGTTTTGCTCACTCACCATATTCTTCCATTTGTTTATTTCACCTGTTTCTTCACTTTATCCCCATCTTTAAGCTCACGAATGACAATTCCAACCACAATTTTTCGTTTGATAATGTTTAGGCAAAATAAAAATATACATTGTTGTGTTTGCGGTAACACGATCTACCTTGATTTTTTTTTACGTCAAATTGCCCAATTCAAACTTTTTATTGCTACATTTGGCCACAACTTTTAAATAAGTATATTTCGAAAATGAAAAAAGATTTCCCAATGAGAGTTTTTAGTGTGTTATGAAGGGAACAAATATGTGCTTGGCCGGTTTTTAAAACAAGTCCAGTTTAAACCTGGCTTAGGGGCGTGGTCCCGGATAATGGCCAGAGCCGAACATCAAAAAGTTACAAAACAAAGTGATTTCCCTAAACTACCTGTCTGAGTTTTAGGGCGCTACCACAAACACACAACTCTTGTTTTGGGCCTCATCAGTTTGATATTTCTGTTGTTTTCCAACCACAGATGTGAATGAATGCCAGAGCAATCCTTGCCAGAACTTGGGAACGTGTCGAGACTCCGTCAACTCCTACGTCTGTGACTGCGTGGCGGGCTTTGAAGGCACCCACTGCGAAATCAGTGAGTTGTCAGAGGGCGTAATTGGCTTGTTCTTTAAATGTAGTTAGGAGAAGCTTATTCTTTCAGTGTAGTCAGGAGAAGTAAGGTTTATTCCGATAAGATTTGAAGATCCACATAAGTAAAAAGTAAAGTCTGTCCCGAGCCAATATGGCTCATCAGGCCGGCGTTTATCTCCGGTTTCAGTAGCATGAAACGACTGAGAATATTTCTACTCCCCCTGGATGGGATGCCAGTCCATCGCAGGTTACTGCCCGGCTAATGCCCGTGCCCATTTATACTCCTGGGTGAAGAGCGGCAAGTTGGGTGAAGTGGCTTGCCCAAGGACACAATATATGACCAGCGGCTGGATTCGAACCCCGGACCCTCTGATCATGAGTCACGAACCCTAACCACTAGGCCACACACTCCCGCATAGTGAAGTAAAAAAGTTCAGTTTGTAGTGGCGGATCTAGGGGGTGTTAACCTCCCCCCCCCCCAAAAAAAAAAATTGAAAGATCATTTAGAAAAAGTAGCACATGCCTTCTTTATCCCCCCTCCCTTTGACAGCCAGCTACGCCCCCCTCCCCCCAAGGCAAAGCTGGATCTTTGATAAGACAGGCGTCTGAAAGCAGGCAGAGCATATTAAATCTTGTTTGTCTTTTATTTAGTTTGGGATTTGTTTGTTTTGCTTGTTTGTTATTTTTTGTGTGCTTGTGCCTGTCTGTCTGTTTGGCGTCCTTTTTTTTCTGTGTCTAATCAAATTGTACTGTTGTAGTTGGAGAACGTCTCGACAAGCTTTCTAAATAGCTTTTTAGGCAATCCCTCAGGCCTGCATATGGTACAATTTAATGTTTGATGTGTTTTTAATGTTTTTGTTTGATAGTTTCTTGAATTATCTAATTAGTAAAATAATAGATAAATAACTTTGTCCAGTTTGGTAGGAATAGGACTTTAACGAAGATCAGTCGCAAATTTTCGACAACCATCTTACCAACTGCCCAAACTATCAAACTGTCGATTTTAAAGGCATTTAGGATCGTTTTGCTTTTCAAGCGTTTTGTTTGTTTCCAATAATAACACCACTCATGATCCACAGAAGAATGTTTAAACCCTAATATGTTGAAGTTTCAGTTCATCGGATGTTACACTGCTTCAGAAAACAGTGAAAAACCATGCACAATCTTTTCATCAGTCAATCGACTGATCATTGGAAATCACCTACATTTCTTGATGTCCTCTAAATGACAGCAAGCCAGACGGAATAATTTCATGTGGTATTTAGTACCAGTACGATCTTTAATCCAAGTAAGCTTTTTTGATAATAATTTGCCAGGTTACTGTTTGGATAAATGCAAATGGTCCTATATGCCTTTAGGGTCGTTAATTTTTTGGCTAAGTTTGTTTTTAACTTTGACAATCCTCTGTATCTCTTCACAGATGTCAACGAGTGTGCCAGCAATCCCTGCCGTAACAATGGCAACTGTAATGACTTGATTAACGGGTACTTCTGTACATGTGCTGCAGGATGGAACGGACCAGCCTGTCAATTCAGTAAGCTTTCATTTTTGTTTCTTCGTAATTTTATGCTCTCTTTAAAAGGTGACAGACACCATCTGCAAAAAAAAAAAATGTATTTTTGCCACTTCAAGGAAGGAGATGCAGGATAATAAGACCAATTTCATATATTTAATAAGACCAATTGTGACCGGCTTCACAAAAAAAGGGTATTAAGTCGAGCTGAGCATTATTGTGTAATGGCCCGCTCAGCATTGAGAGAGTGAAAATTTTGTCAACATGTGATTTTCATTTTTAGTCATGAATGTCATCTTTAATACCAACAGTTTCAAGTTTCATTCACAGAAATGTTGATATTGTTGAACAAAGTAGGAAAAAACCACCATTTTGTGTGCATCGTTCTGTTCTACAACAGAGCCAGCTATTTCAAAGCCTGTTTTCTCAGTTGTGTAATTTAAACTCCAAGGAAGTAATTAATATGCAAATATGTCATATCTCCAGCACGGGAGGGGCTATGGAGCTCTATTATACACCAAATGAAAGCTTACATTGTGGGCTTTCCAACTATGTATATAACTCAATTTCACTTTTTTGCGACATAATACCCTTTTTTGTGGAGCCGGTCACAATTTCATATATTTAAAATTATATCAAGTTTTCAAGTATTCATTATGTGTTTCATTGTATTCCCATAACATTTCATGAGCTCCTGTGCACACGATCCTGTTGAAGTTTTAAAATTCATGCTTGCATCAAGTACTTGCATCATGATGTGGGTCACGGTTCATTCGGGACAATCAAACACTCATGGAAGGCGCATGAACGCGCAAGGAGATGGTCTTACGATGCTCGCGCATTAATTACGAGCAGAACGGGCATTCGCGTAACATCGCGTAATGTCGCATCAAAGATTTTATCCCGAATGACCATTGACCTCGACTACTTCACTGAGATACCAAACTCGTTTATTATCAAATTATCAAAATTGATTTTTCAAAGACAGTTTAGAGGGTTTTCTATTAATTTATTTTCATGAAATTGACTGTTTTTGGTTTGTTTTGCAGACAATGATGAGTGTGCCAGTACACCGTGCTTGAATGGAGGGAGATGTATTGACCGTGTCAATGGGTTCGAGTGCCGCTGTGTGCAAGGATACACCGGCGTAAATTGTGAAGTTGGTAAGAACAGTTTCACTTTGAAACAATTTTTTTTTAATGGACTTGTGCACAATGAGAATGACCTGCAGCCGATTTCACAAACTTGCGTGACTCCACTTGCGCCACAACTTCATAATTTCGCATTGCGCAGCAAAACTATTTTCAAAAAGGTAGGCGGAGGTTATTCAATGACTGTTTCTGTGACCAAACAGAAATCATACCAAAGAGTAGACGTATTCCAATGTGGAGGAGTTAATAATTCCCTGCCACACTTATCCTTGAATCTACGTTTTTGCTCCGCAGATATCAACGAATGCAGCAGCCAGCCCTGCCGCAATGGTGGACAGTGTGTGGATTTGGTCAACATGTACGAGTGCCAGTGTCCCACCAACTACGCTGGAATCAACTGTGAAATTTGTAAGTCTGGAAATTTGTTAAATTTAGGGGAATTGTTGGATTTTTCTTAAGGGGGGTAGGGGACGATTGCTTTTGTTTTTGTTTTTGTGGGTTTTTGGAGTTTGTAATTTAGGACATAATTGTTGAGTAGTCTAAGGTTCTGAAAGTGCTCTACTCAAAGATTTTAACCAATTTTAATGATCAGCATTGTATCTCCGTGGCAAACAGTATTTGTTTTGAAAATAGGCAAATAAAATTCCTAAGGCAATTTTTACTTCAGTTGCTTCAGTAGAATTAGACATGAACATCATTGTTTTTAGGTGCTGTGACTTTTATTTTCCCAAACTTCAGTCCTTCGTTCACTGAAGTCATTCTTACCCCAAAAACACTCCACGAGCACTCGGCCGAAAAAAACTTAAAGCTTGCTTACGTTACAAACACCCTTAACAACAGCAACCACAACGGTCTAAAGCCAGCTTGCCACAGTCATGGTTAAAGTCTGTTTTGCTTACTGAGGACTATAGTTTCTAACGGACCTAAATACCCAATAAGTACAAACGAACTTAAAAGCGCATGTGAGTAATTCTATAAATTTGGGGTCCCCTTATTGCCCGTCCCTGTTGCATCCAACATCTATTTTTATAATTCTGATGCACTCCTTAATGCAGCCGTCCTCCAAGAGTGATTATGAATAGCAAACTACCTACCCAACAAATTCAAAATTGTTTGAAGTCATTGTTAATGATGCTTGAACGGCAAATTACAAAGTACCAAGGTAACAGGGACAGGAAAAATGTCCCGCTTTGGACCCAACCTTAACAGAACGACCCATGTGGAAAGGTATCTTAGGACATTTTCATCCGTTACCTGTGACGAAACAACCAAGTAATTTTCTGTTCAGTTTTTTTGTCAAATATATTAGCCCACCCCCTACCATTGATTTGCGTATCTTTTCGTTCTTGTAGCTCTTGATGCCTGTATGAGCAGCCCCTGCGCCAATGGAGGGCGCTGTGAGAACCGTGGGTCTGACTATGTCTGTTTCTGCACCGCCGGGTTCACTGGTACCACCTGTCAATATGGTGAGCAAAAAAAACCGGAACCTAACCTTAGCAGAAAAAATATTACTGAGTAATAATACAAATAATTTATACATTTATATTGCGCAAATTCCATATGAATATGAACGAATGCGCATCACAATTATTATCCCTGTTCATCAGGAATGAGACAATTTTACTGCAGCAGCTCGAGATCAGTGCAATTTGGTCTCTACCTTCACAGGTACCCATGGATACTCCTGGGTGGAGAGAGGCAATTGTAGTTAAGTGCCTTGCCCAAGAGCACAAGCACCATGGTCCCCGTCAGGGTTCGAACCCATGTACAAAGGCACACGAGTCGAACACCGTAACAATTGGGCTACAGCACCCCACATAGGCGTGCTAAGGAAAAAAATGCATAGTTTCAGATTTCTAGACCCTTGCTAATCAATCACGAGTCAAATCGCTAGCAATAGGGGAATGACTACAAAGGAATGTCTGCATCACAGTTCATATGAATAGCTTACTACTTGTCTTTTGTTTTTGTCTTACCCTGTAGAAACCAATGAGTGTGCTAGCTTGCCCTGCCAGAATGGAGGAGTGTGCATTGACGGTCTCGTGGACTACACGTGCCAGTGCCCCCAGGGTTACACCGGGCGGAACTGCGAGTCAGGTACGTCACTGCCTGTACATAAACTGCGCGGCTGAAGAGTTGGGCCATTTCCAACTTACTTTCCCAAGACCTGGCTCTGCTTACCGTTAGCGGAAAATCCCTGCTTACTGTAGCAGAAAATTCCGTGCTTACGGTCAGCGTATTTCACGGTTTAGCGAGGAATTTTGGCTAAGGATTCGCACCTAAGGATTCTTTGCTTACAGGGTTAGCACAGAATTTTCTGCTAGTGCAGTAATCACAAAATGGTGATCGTAAGTGCAGAATTCTGTGGTTAGCGGAGCCATGCGCTTCTTAACAGCCGATTTTATGCTAACAGCCTAAGCAGTAAGCACGGCAAAAGCACGCTTAACCCCAGAGGAAAAAATTGCCTAAATCAATGACGGAACAATAGAAATCTATCACGCGCAACCGTTAGCACATCCACACTATAAAATAAGCAGCAGCGTGATTTATACAATAGTAAGCACAACTTTTCTGCTAACTGCTAAGCAGCGCTATGAAATTGGGCCCAGTAATTACATATTTGTCTGTTTAAACGGCTAAGTCCGCTTCCCATATACACCTGTATTACTGCTAGCCATAAGCCAGTAGTTTCGGACATGGCCTCAAACTAGCCTTGAATTGGGCTCAGAAGGCACCAAACTGCCATGGATTATCAACACAGATTAGCTACCGCTTTACGCAACTCGAAAGAATTCTAAAAACATCCAAAATCAGGCAACATTATTTATTTCATTTCTGGTAATGAAACCAAGGATTCCTCAAAAGCGCCCTAGGCAATGTAGCTCGCAAGCCTGAAAAAACCTATAGAGAGGAGACAATGAGAAGAAGTTACCTTTTTTAGAGGTGGGAGGAAAAGCCCAGAAGAATATTCTGGGGAAAACTCACTGAATCAGGCAGGGACTGAAAACCCAATCCACAATCCAGGCGGGATTCGAACCCGGATCACAGCGGTGGAAGGCAAGGGAAGTACCGCTACGCCAACCTGACTCCCATTATTAACTACCATTAGATAATAATATTGTTTTCATTGGAGAAAAGGATTGTGTCTCCATTTAAATTTTTGCCAATGGTGTTTGAAGAATAAACGACTTGTGAGTAGTTCTTGCAGGTTAAATAATGCAAGCTTTTTTTCATATTGTGAACGTAACCCATTTTTTGTCAATTCCCCATGCAGTAACTATCTGTGACCTTCAAGGCACCTGGTACAACGACATCGGTGACACCATCACTCTCACCCAGACGGCGTCCGGCATGTTGCTGGGAGAGTTCAGGTCCAAGGAGGAGAGAGATCGCGGCTACATGGGTAAGTCTAACCGAGTGAATCGTTAATGACTTACAGAATATCTCAAAAGAAAAAAATCTGTGGAGAATTTTCTCTTTATCCCTGAGATGGATGACATACAAGGCAATTCAAATTCTTTGAAGCTTGTAAAGTTAAAAGAAAAAACTTTAGGAATCCCTTTTGGGATACCAGTTACAGCTGGAATGTACCCTCTGGAAGAGGAAGGGCAGAGTCAGCTTTATTTTCTAATCAAATTCAGGATTACTGTTACAATGCACTGCTGTTCTAATACCAGGGGCAATCTGAACATTTATTGTATCAATTATTCATAAATACCTGAAACAGTCTACCCATTCCTAATTGGTCGCGAGCCCGTCACGTGGGTAGTTTTAAACTGCTGATAAAACACTGGCTGGTTTTAAACACAATCCATTTCCATATAATGAGATTTTTAGCACTTTGCGCATGAGGCACATACCATAGACATGGCCAAAGGGGTGTTTCACAAAACATGAATAAATTGTTGAACGAAATCATTGGAAATTTGGGAGTTTTTACCTGTTTTGACTTTTTGAAAGGTATTTATGAATGGGAATAAATATGTGCTTAGCCGGCTTTAAACAAGAATGTTTAAAAATCGGTTAGAACATTCTAACAGAATTTTCCTCCCACGTCTAAAACAGGCCATTAGCGGCGACCAGGCCCATGGCCGGTTTTCAACGTACTTGTTCAAAACCGGCCAAGCACATATTTACTCCCTTTGTGTATTTCATATGATCGGACATTCAAAGTAAAAGTTAAAATAAGTAAACATTAAGAAAAAAAATTATTTCAGTTATTCCAACTGCTTCAGTAGATTCAACAACCTTTCCCACTTAAAATGTGATTCTTGATCATTGTATGCAAATGTGTCTTTCATTTCAAAACAGTCCCGACTATCGTTGTTGGCTACGCTGCCCAGAACGTCAACTTCCCGGCCTTTGGCTTCACGGTCATCCGCAACAACGGTCAGATGGCCTTCAGCTGGACCGGTCAGTGCCAGTGGTGTGGCGACGCCGAGGTCCTGATGACCAACTGGATTAAGATGTCCATGGTCAACACGTGTGCACTGGCCAAACACGCCACCTTGTAAGTTCCGTTTTGTTTTGTTTTTTCCTTCCCTTTTTTCATTTGTGACAGTGTGATAAACCCAGAGAACAGTGTCATGGTATTGTTAATTAAGCATAGACTTTTCGTAAGCATGCAACGAATAAGCCAGTTAGGTATTCCAACTGCGCATGTGCACAACAAGATACGAAGATATTTCTTTCGGGATAACCACGGCAGCTAAATGCACACAAGGCTATGGGGGACGTGGTAACCAAATCTGCATTCTGTGCAATTTTTTGTGCAATCGAATAGACGATGGAAGTTTCGTTAGCACAAAAGTTTGGACACACTAGACACCTAAAAACACTTAGCTGCCCAAACGTTTTTGGCGTTTGTTTTTTTTTTTAAGTGTTATACTTCAGAACACGATCGTCTCTTTAATTTTGCTGGTAACCGCTATGCTTTGCACGTATCCGATGACATTTTTATCCCGAAAGAGAAATCGTCAAATCTTGATGTGCACATGCGCAGTTGGAATACCGAACTGGATTATTGCTAAACAAAGGGCGCTCATTTGACTATTGCTTAAGTAACAAGTCACATTCTTTTGTACTAACGAAATAATTGGCACAAATCCAAAGCTTAATTCCATGATCAATGTTATGAAATGTGTCTGTATGAATTCCGGTTTATTTAAAAGAAAAACAATGCATCTAGCACCGGCAGGTTTCAGTTAAAAAACAAACAATTAGACATTTGAAAATGTACCATTGAAAATTTCATCTAAAATGTAAAATTTAACTACAACAAAGACAAACAATATCTTTAAAACATTAGTAACATTACAATTACAAATAAACATATAAATTGAAGAAGAGTAACAAAATATGAAACACATTGTTTTTAAAAATGTTTAAGTTGGTTTACATTATTTCTTCTTCTTTTTTTGCAGAACTGGTCAGGACCACTGGACCAGATATGAACAGCAACTACAGCCCTGCCGACTGAACTAAAAAGGCGCCCTCTATTGAGGATGAAATCCCAGGCCATGGCAGGCAAATTCAGGGTTCAAACTAGCTCGAGATGAAAACAGTCTCGGGTTATAGTCCAACCTAGTTTGTTCTTTTATTTGTGTTTTTTTTTTTCAATGTTTTTTTCAATTTTGTACTAGTTTTTAATTGTGACATGGTGATGGTTGATTTAATGGAGGGAACTTTAGTCTCTTTTTCCCTTCACAATTTTTAATTTACAGTGATAGCAATATTACAGTACATAGAATAATCATCCTTTTTTCCCCCTTTGATGTAACACTTACTGTCCCTTTAAACTGTGAAATAAAAGGCGTTTGTATATTTTATACCAGTAGCACAGAATTTTGTTTGATTTAGAACTCTTGTTGGCCTTTTGTAGAATTAGAATATATTCTGGGTTGAATGGTGCTTGCATATATCTGTATGCTAAATGTATTTATTCCCGTACAAATGACAAGACTTAAAGTGCTTTAAATGCTAAAATTTCATTTTTTTTTGGAGAACCCACGCCATTATTTGCAAAAGATTGTAGTTAATAGGCCTGAGACATAATGACGTCACGCGTTGTTTACATGTGCGCTTTCCTATGTAGTAGACGGTCCCCACTTTATCTGGCGTCCCGACTTAGCTTCCATAGGAAAGCGCATATGTAAACAAAGCCATTACGTCTCAGATCTATTGGTTTTTTATCTATACTGTAAGTCCAAGTAGGCTGGTGCATATGACAGCATTACGGAATTCACAGTGCTCCTTAGACTTGGGCAATAGGGAACTAGACGCATGTTTTCCAACTGTTTTTCAAGTGAATCAAAGTTGTTGACACTTTCAGGGCACTTGTTCAATATGCCCTCGCTTATATTCTGATCACGAGCATCTGTATATTCGGTTCGGTCTGAAAACATTTAATCCGTAGAAATTCAAGCTTTATATTTTTAAAAATGTAAGATGGTTTCTTTTTATCCTGTACAACAGGGTTGCAATGTTTATCATGACGTTATTTCCGATGCAATGTTGTGTAAATTTTGGCTGATTCAACGAACATTTTATTTTTTGAGCGTCGTAAATTTCAAGTGCACTCATTCCTATTTCCAAGTATGGTAACATCGCAATCTGTCTAACTTGAAATTAGAGTTCATCATTTTGAACATTAGCAATGAACACAAATTAACCATGTGCATTATGCTTAAAATAAAAACTGTTTCAGGGTTTCATGAAGGAATTGTACATAGAACTTTTCAACACAAAGAAGTAGATTGTTAATCAGCCTGCCCCCACCGATTTTGGTTACTACATTAATTAAGTGCTTTTCACAGATTCACTTTGTGGGTCCAAAGCACTGGACATATAGCTTTAAAAAAGCAAGTAGAGTTTTTACTGAAGAATTATTTTCTGTCTAGTTTAGCATGCGGGTAGACATTATAACAAGCTTTGTAGTAATCATGTATTATCTCAAAAGGGATTGTATCTCATTAAATGCTCAATAAAAAGGTTTCCCTTTATTTGTAATTCCATATTCTGGAAGAGTTTTTATTTGGTGAGTGCTGTTGTTTAACAGATCAATCTAAATAAGGCCTAGGTCATTTGTGTAGGAAAAAATTGTCAAAATTTCATTTTATTTTTATACTTCTTGAAAGCAGAAAGGGAAAACGATATCATTTCATCATCTTATAACACCTCTTTTTGTCAATTAGAATTTCAATGTCTTTTTTTTCCCATGATGTGCCTTATAACAGAGCAAACACTGAAAGAGCCGAATTGTAAAATGTCTGTTTTCTCCCATTGAAGGTACAGCTTTCTTTTATCGTCTGCCCGAGAATTTTTACAAAGATATAACGACGTACGCGATTGGACATAAGCAAAAAGTGTAGCAAGATATGCAAATAATATGTAAAGTTTCAGCAATTGCCAATGGCGTTGCGTCTTTCATCCGAGCATGTAGTTGTCAACATTTTTTACACAGATATAACGACGTACGCGGTTGGACATAAGCAAAAAGTGTAGCGAGATATGCAAATAATATGTAAAGTTCTCAGCAATGGCCAATGGCGTTGCGTCTTTCATCCGAGCAGGTAGTTGTCAACATTTTTTTTCATTCCGCCAATCCGCCATGTGCTTTTCGTTAGTTGGCATTGTCGTGGAAAAGGAAGGTCTCGCTCGCCAAACTATGGAAAAATTGTGACTTTATTGAAGGCAGCCCCTGCTATATCAGGTAATTTGGGTGGTTCATACAACAGTCTGTGTGACAAGTGGTTTCAATAGAGGTATTTTACGGTGCTTTTGGAGATAAGGCCAAAACTTTTTGTTCACTAAATTTTAGGTCGTTGTGCTCGGCGCCAGCATGGCTCGTGCAGCGACAAGGCGTAGACCTTCGAACGTACCGGCTCCGAGGGATTCTTTCTGGCGACGCCCTCGGCTTATTTAATGTTAGCTGCATGGCGGGAGGATTTGTACTTGGGTCTTGGGTATTTTAAAAGTGGCCGAGGACCTTTCACTACCATTCTGCTATTGATCTGAATATATTCCTGGATAATCTCTGGTTTCCCCTGTGTTGTGATATATAAGTCATAGAGCAAGGAAATGCTTGTACGATTGTGAACGATGAGAAAAAATGACCAAACACAAATGCTGCTACTTTAATAGTGCTAGACCAGTTGTTGGCCATGTTCTAGGCTGGGTGACCGTAAGGTCATCACCAAATTCTGCTAAATGCACTTCAAAAATCTGTCAGATCTATCAAAAATCTGCCAAATTCCCAAGAAATGACTCTAAATACACTATAACACTTGAAATCACATGCATATGTTGTAGTAACTAGTAGGCCATATTGCCTTAATTAAGGTTCAAATTACATTATAAACAGTCTATACTGCAGTCACATAAAGATGTTATGAAATTGCATAAATTTCAGGCAAAATGCGGTTGCATCATGACGAAGTCCATTTCCCAGTGAACCTAAGCACCTAGACCAGCCAACCTGTTCCAACCTGCAAGGGTTTGTTTGAAAAGATTGAAGCTTTTTTAAACAAATGTACCATTTTTTTCAAATTTGCTATGTTTTTCTGTCAAATAACCATTTTTGCAGAATTCCTCCAGAAATCTGCCAAAAAAAATCCGTTCTGTCAAATTTTCTGTCAAACTCGTTTTTTAACAAAACAAATCTGTCAAAGTTAGCCGAAAATCGGCTAAAACGGTCGCCGTGGTACTTCCAGGTGTAGGCCTATCACTAAGTATGAGTGTGCGTAGAGAACACATACGTGGCACTGAGCTAATGTTTTCATTCACCCAACAAAGTGGAGTGGGCTTTGTTTTAAGACGTAGTGAAATATATGATTGTTTTATTTCAGCTGTATCCGCATGGGGGCGCTGTGCATACAGGGACGGAAGATGCAGTCATCCATCCATGGGATGTCTTTATTTATATGACATCAATTTTCAACAAACAGAAACTTTGATTTGTGATAATGCACAGTACGAATCCCAGCACTGAGCCTATTTGGAATTAAACTTGATGTGTTGTGTGTGTGTGTGTTCCAATACTACTAAAGGAAAACGAAAGCCAACATTTAAACAAGAATAGCCTCGGGGTCTAAACTTGAAGTGAATCATCAGTTGATTTATTGTTGGGAGTGTGGTGCAATATGATTTTAAAATGCCACTCTGTACACTTTAGTGTAACACAGAAATTCTGCGATCAGTCCATTTCATTTCATTTCTTTTATTTGCCTCAAATCGTGGCCCAGAGAGCCAAATTCCAAAAGACAATTAGGCCTACATTGAAAGCAATTAATATTAAAAACCGATTAAAAATTGCATAATACCCAAAAAAATACATTGAGTAAAAAAAGGCAGGCAATAACATTGTACGCTAACAAACACCACAAAACCAAGGAAACATGAACAATACAAGAACGGAGGGACAACATGCATCAAGAAAAAAATGGCACACAGTAACACAGAGCCGGCATTAAAAATATGAAGTAAGGGATGGGACTTTGTTGGAAGCACTCGATTCTAATAGGGAGTTGAGTTATTTGGTTACTGTTCCTTAGGTTCCTACCATGACTTGCTAGCCTCGTAGGGGGAGCAAGTGAGTTGTTCTTGAATTAGAGCCAAGAGCATTAGCAAATGTTATGTAATGTCCTACTCTTCTGCTATATGGTGTATCTAACAAGTTACATAGGTTGAGCGCATCCAAGTGTGAAGTGTACTGATTCCCCATGATGGTCCTACAAGCTCGTTTCTGTATCCTTTCAAGATCATCGGTTTGCTTTTTTGTTAAACTAGAATGCCATATCAAATCCGCGTACTCAACCATAGGTCTGTGTTAAAGGATTGAGGTGTCATCCCCAACTTCCCATGTTTCTGTATTTGTGTTTAAGTTAGAAATGGACGACATATTGATATTGGTGGATCCAGGGGGAGGGCAACGGGGGCCATACACCCCCCCCCCCCCAACCTTTTTCTCTTAAATTTTTCGGAAATAAATTAAAACATTGCATATCTCCCCCGCAAGCCATCAGCTACCCCTACCTTTTAGTTTTAATATTACAATGTGGAAATAGCACATGATAGTATATATCTAATCCCCTTCCCTTTTTCAAAAACAAAAATACCGCAGACCCTTGCCCCCCCCCAAAAAAAAAAATTGATTCTGGATCCACCCTTGCCTATTAATCTAATGGCCAAAAAAATCGGATTAGAATCTTACAGACATAGAAGGCTACCAGTAGCTTCTACATTTAGTAGAAGAGGTATATTTCAAGACCAGTGCCGAATTACAGTAATGCCCCAATGGCAGTATGAATGGATAGGGCCTAGAATATTTATTTGTAGTTAACTTGAAAATTTGAACGCATATGCCCCAGTCTTATTTTGAAAAAAAAGTTAATTTACAAAATATATATACATTGAATGGAAGATAATGTCAATAATATCTGTTCTACTTTGGTAATCTGTACTTTTTGCCCCTTTTATGGTTTAAAGTCTTAAACCTGGGCTTATATCTTGTTCTTTGTGTGTTACCCACAATGTCTGGTCATGCAGACATGAGCTCAACTAAAAAATGGAAACTAATAGCTTCATAATTTGAAGCAAAATAATCAAATACACTTAATCCTTCAACCATTTTGTGTCCAAAGTTTCACAAAAAAAATCCCGATGCCAAAAAAAATTGCAATTTAACCATCCTACCCAAAAAAAACTGTGTAAAGATCCAAAGTAAACAGTGGGTGTAGACCAAGTTGGCTTTGATTGTTATGTGTAGACTCTTTTTGAAGTTAAATCCCTTGACTATCCTTTCCGAACAAGGGAGTTATAGTACTAACAAAGACAGATGGCTGCAGAACGGCGGCTTTCCTTTTCAACTTATCCAGGAAGCTTTTGAAAAGGTTCCGTTTCCCCTGCACTTGACTCCCACAGAATCACTTGCACAAAATACTTTATTTTTAGTTGGCAACTTTTGTTGGGTGTAAGCGTGATTTGTAAACAGCGCGATCGTTCAGCCTTTGACGTCGCGGTGACTAAAACTGTTGCCCTGCCAATAAACTTTGCTCCTATTATGAGACTTGCCTTTAAAACGAGGACGTGACAGGCATGACAACGGCCTACCGACTTCTGATTTTCCGTATGCTTCATGCACGTGACGACAAAATCTGTCACAGTATGTGCTCATTGGTGGAGGTAAGTAGCCTACGCAAGTGGGGTGTTCAAGTCATCAAAATACGCAATAAGCAAGCAATTATTATTGAAAGCTTACTTTAACCCTGCACCATACTTGCTCCAGGTTGAAAGGCCATATGCCTTCCGTGGACTGCAAAGCTCGATTTCTTCGTGTTTCACTTCTTTTTTTAGGGGGAGGGGACATCGTAGGCTGTTGGCATGAATTTAACCCTCCTGCTATTTGAACAGTCACGGACAGTAAAAATTCCTTTCCACTTCCCACGCTACACTTTTAACAAAGGCTAGTCACCAGCAGTCGGATCATATGTCGAGCAAGCACTGTGACAAGTCAAACTGGGTCAACAGACAAAACAGACACGTTGTGGTCACAGCTGTTTTATCACTGGCCCGGAGTGAAAGCATAGTTACTTCAACAGTCCCATCCAGTCAATCTTGCTTTGTGCAGGCTCGGAATTCCTGACTGTTGAAAACGGTCACTTGATTGCTTTCTACTGAAAGGACAACTTTGCACAGAATGTCTGTTTGCAATAGGAGGGTTTTAATTGCAGTCCCAATCGTTTCAAATCTAAAACAGGTAGGGCCTAACCTGGTACATATATATATATAGTAAATTCGTAGACAAAAAAAATTAAAATGGTGCCTGCAGTATCGGATTAAATAGCAACATACAAGTCGGGATAATCAACCGAGCGCACGGGGAGCCTTAAAGTTAACCCATTTAATTTGAACGAAAAAGGGAGGCGCAACGCCGTTACCCAGACCCTTCCTGGATGAATAAGAACTCTTCTGGTTTTATTAAAAACATGTTGGGGGGCAGCGGTAGCCCCCCC